TGACTCATAGAAGGGCTGGCTAAGTTAACTTACAACAAATGAAACTCTCTAAGCCAACACATTTCCATTGATTCGAAAAATGTAATACTTCACAATTTTTAAATAAAATTTATATTACATTTAATTTATATTTGATTTTAAAATCTTCTATTGATTCAACAGCCTTGACAAAAATTATCAAGCGATTCCCATTTACATGCATCCTGCGTTGAATTAAACTTACATAATTTTAATAAAATCAATTTTTTTAATGAATAAAATGCGTAGATATTCATGTATACATGTATTCGTGTAGACTATAGAATATTACATTATCCTGGCGTCGTCTACCATCTTGCACCCATAATTCTTTTACACTGCTAACTTCCAAAGCACTTTGAAAAGATATTTAATTTTTAGAACAGTATTACATATACTAATAAATTATATATATGTATATATATAATATATACATATTATATTATATATTATAATACAAATATTATAATTATTATTATATATATGTCATCATGCAATATTCGTTATTCCACTGTCTAAAAATTGATATATTTAAACCCTAATGACCTCGCCAGTGAGGGGTTATTATCGGGCCATTAGGGCTGATATCAACCCTTATCTTCAAGGGAAACCATCAAATTAATCAAACTGGATAAAATAAATCCTTTCAAAACATTTTTCTGTCGAAAACAAAACCCAAGTTGGACGAATGCCGAATTAATCCGAAGCGCCTTTTTTGCTTTCATGCCGAATTCAAATTTAGTTAATGGGTTCGCAAAGTTGAGTGAAAAATTTTGTAGTTTTGAACAATTGCGCTTGAATCGTACTGAAATACAATGGTTTGTGGGGTAAGCGCCAGTAAAAATAAATCTACGAGAAAATAAAAGTTGTAAAATGTCTAACACTACAGGTTTTCCACGCTTTCAAGTCAGAATTTTGAGGAAAATGACATTTATCTGAAAAATATTTTACTGCGGCTCTGAAATAAAATTGAATTTTAAAAGTTAATAATAAAATATCAATGTTAGTAAACAATGGAAAAATAACGATGCCGAAATCATCCAACTACACGTCGCCTGACAAAAGTTTGCTTCTGTCGTCCCTTTCATCAAAACTTCGTTCCTTTCATCGTAGAACTTTCCCGAATTTCCTTTGTGTTTCTCCTGCCACTTTTCGACCAAAAGCAAAGCAAAAGATGGAATCATCAAGTGAATCTTCCACCTAACTTTTGCTGAAGAAAAATTCCGGTCAAAATAACGGAATGCAGACGGATCCTTGGAATAAAAAACTTCAATTCAGAAAAGCATGTGTTATAAAGATGAACAACATTGTATAATTTTTTATAATTAACCTTGAGTCTATACAATATGTGAAGCATTGTGAACTTGCTTTTAATATGTCCAGCTCGGAAAAATGTCCAGCTTTGTACTCTTTTGAACCCTCCTTCAAATCAAAGGGAAACTTCAGATAAAGAAATGCCCTTCAAAAATCATTTAATTGCGCGATCGTGTTACATTCAAGCTCAAATAACAGTGATGGCATTCAATATCAAGATACCAATTAATTAAATTGACAAAGAGAACAAAATGCGACGATAAAAAGTCCCCATGTCAAGTGTGGTCGGTCGAACAAGAGATAAAATGAAACTCTAATTGGCACTAATAACTTCTGACATCCGCTCCGACATTACTGCAGTTATTTCAACGATAATGCACTCAAAAAAATATCGCAGACTTTGTCTAAATAGTGATGCACTTTGCCATACAGTGTGAGTCATCCTGGCCCAGTTTGGCCCAACAAAAGAGCTAGTCTTTGCTGCGTTCTCTGACTGCTCGGTCTGTGGGTGGAAAGTGTGTCACTATTTGAACAATGAGACCCATTTATTCTTCTGAGTGCATCATGCAATCATTAGGGTCATGAACTAATAACAGCTGTCAACTCAGTAATCAGCAGTCACCTCGTGTATAACAACATTTTATAGTGTCCGTTTTCCATATTTCAATCTTTTTATATTGCCGTCTTTTTATCTATAATGTTTTATGTTTTATATATCAGTATTTTTATATTCCTGTCTTTTTATATTTCTGTCTTTTAATATGTCAGTTTTTTATATTTCAGTCTTTTTACATTTCTGTCTTCCTATATTCCTGTCTTTTAAAATTGTCCGTGTTCTATATATCAGTGTTTGCAGTCACTGCAGCGTGTCCAATTATAGCGACAGTTATACATATGGTTGAATTAATACATAAGTATTAATTCAACCATTGTTATACATACCTGCGAGTCACGCGTGGATACGACGACGTCGTTATTTTTTAAGCAAATACTCAGAAAAATGAGTGGATCGTATTATCTAAATAGCGACACATTTTTACACACAGCACGGGCAGAAAGTGAGTACAACGCTACCTGGAGAAAGTCTCACTAATTTCCGTGACTGAGTGAAGCCTGATTAAAATAGATGAAAAAAACTGTTTCTTTCAAAGAATGGAACGTAAAAATTTAAATTATTTTTTTTTTCTAAATACAGTGAAGAAATTCTGATTCAATTATTCATAAATAACAAAACTCGAGGGAATTTTTCCCTGATTGGTTTTTATGATTAATAAAAATAAATTATTAAATTATTTGACAATAATTTATGCGGCCATGGCCTTCCCATTCTTAATGATTTATTGACCTTAATTAAATTTAGGAGCTGAAAATAAATATTTTGTCTATCAACCTAAATTGAGAGCGAACATTTTCAATTCAAAAAACCCTTTTTACGATCCCTAATTTTTTACAACTTTACATGTTCAAACAACCTCAACATCCCCATTTATAGATAAATGACTGTTAAATAAATAATATAAAATAAAAAATTCTTTCTACCGTTGACCCTAGAACAATCTGAACCATTTTCACATTTCTGGGGAGGGTTCTTGAGCCCTTTAGACTTGCCTGGCTTGCAGGAGGAATTTTCTTGAATCCTCAGCCCTCTCCGCATCCATGTACGGGACTCATGGGACTCGGCATCCTTCGCATGGGATTCATTTTGAATAAGATTATAGGATTCATCGTGAGCCCGCAATCCTTTTTACATTCCTGGGCTCATTTGGCGAAGGTTCGTGAGCCCTAAGCCTTGTTGGTTCATTAGGGTAATGTTCATGACTCCTGAACCTTATTCACGTATATGGGGCTCATTTTGGCAGACTCCAACCCAAATAAGCCTGCTACTCTAAAAAGAATAGAGGCTCAAACTTCCTCAAACCCGCGAAGCAAGAAATAGCACGTGGCATGCAAGCGCTATAGAATTTTTGTGCGCAACGTTCTTTGCCTTAGGGGATGTTTTTTTTCTACGCAAGTTCCGTGTTAATTAAATTCCTTGGAGGGGAACCCGTAAATTTTGAAACCGGTGGCCGCTATACGACTTTATTAATAACAGCGTATATGAAAATTGTTGAGTATGGACATCGTAACCGTTATCGCATTGACAGTATTTATAGAAATCGTTCCGGTCATAACATGTCAGTATTTATGGGAATCGTAAGATGCGCAAAGTATTTTCGTATAGAATGCGATGAATTTTTTCCATTTCGTTGAACCTTTTCCCAAGCAGATAAGTTCTGAAGCTCTTTCGGACCAACCTATTTGCTCTTGAAATTATAATTGTAATCAGCTATTTGGAATAAGAAATGTTCAAAATAATAGGCGTTAGTTTCGTGATCCATAAAAAGTATAAAAAGTTGAAAAGGATACGAGTTGTTACGATAAATACTGCATTCAAAGCTAACAATAAACTTTCAGGTACAGGCCAAATCCCGACACGATAAGTATCCTGGATACGCGCCCCAACAGCCCCTATATACAATATCCCGGCACGATAAGTATCCTGGATACGCGCCCCAACAGACAATATCCCGACACGATAAGTATCCTGGATACGCGCATCACAAGCCCCTTTATATATTACGGCGCCAGGCTTGCAAGACAAGCTTTATTCCAACAATATTAGACATTTTTACAGCATATTGTTCAAGTGTTGTTCGTTGACTTGATACCATATTATGTATTGTTATTAACTATAGAATGGGGAAAGACTTAAGAAGTAATTAATCCAGAAGTTCTTCACCTTAAACATTGCTGTAGCAAACTAAATTAAACCTGTTTAATCGTACAGGACGATTTAAATGATGACTTCGGTCAGAAGTCTAGTCCAACATTTATTCTTTTTAATCGCGCGTCACCGATTGGAACTTTCGTTAATCGACATTCAGGTACGAATAGCATTGAGCACCTTTAATATATCCGTAGTAAAGGTCAACCATTTTTCTACAAGAGGTAAATCCCGTTACTTGTCTTTCAGGTACGAATAGCGTTGAGGGCGAATAAATAGTATAGTATAGTATCTTCGGCATTAAAGAATAGGCCTGGATAGGCCTGTCGCCGATTCTTGTACTTTACTTGACTAGACTGACCTTTTGATCAAATCTTTTCAACGGACGGTAGATTTAAAATCGCTTCTAGATATCAGTTGTTCCGTAGGACACGAGGCATTTTAAGACTGAACATATGCTCATGCATGGCCTTGTCTAGTCTGTTCTTGAACGCGTTCATACTCGGAGCGTCAACGATGCTATCAGGGAGGCTGTTCCACATGTCGGTGACTCGAAGCGAGAAGAAATGTTGTCGCGTGGATAAGTTGAACCGCAGTTTTTTTAGTTTATAGCTGTGGCCCCTGGTGTTGGTTCTTGTTTCAAATTCTAGTAATCCTTCTGGAACCTTGTAAAAGCCATGAGTTTACTTGTATGCTTCAATGAGGTCACCACGCAGGCGACGATAGCCGTGAACAATATGTTAACCTTGTCTCCACGCTCGTCTGATTTTCCACTAACCTGGAATCTAATGCCCGCTCTTCGACACTCAAGAAAAATTATTAGTGAGTCAAGATGTACAAAAGTTGAAACATTTTCTTACCCACACAACGAGGACGCAGCATGGCAAGGGAAGAATAAAATGACAATAGAAGAAGTTTTATTTGACAGAACTGAAGTCAAGAGAGCTGTACACTGTAGGAGCTAAACGCACTCTTATTTACAAATGAACAGACCTGTAGTGAGCCTAACCTGTAGAGAGGCTAACCTGTATTGAGCCTAACCTGTAGAGAGGCTAACCTGTATTGAGCCTAACCTGTAGAGAGGCTAACCTGTATTGAGCCTAACCTGTAGTGAGCCTAACCTGTAGTGAGCCTAACCTGTATTGAGCCTAACCTGTAGAGAGGCTAACCTGTAGTGAGCCTAACCTGTAGTGAACCTAACCTGTATCGAGCCTAATCTGGAGAGAGGCTAACCTACAGTGAACATAACCTGTAGTGAACCTAAACTGCAGTAAACCAAACCAGTGAGCCTAACCTGCAGCAACCCTTAACCTGTGGCAACCCTAACCCCGCAAAACAAAACCGATGCAACAAATTCATCGTTAACATAAAATGTAATAATAATCACGTCATACGAATATACGATTCACGAATAAACGTTGTACGAATAATTCGTATAACGATCTCAAAAGCCCACACATAATTATTATGAACAATAGACGAGGCTATAACAAATGAAGCGAAGTCCAAAAAATATTTCTAAGTTCATCGTGAAGTCTTCAGAGGCAATTACGTGTAGAGCTGTGTACACTCACAAGAATTAATGGCTTCATGTTGTCCAAATAGTGACACTTTCTTATCCACAGCACGAGGAGAACGCAGACGTAGTACTGATACGCGTTGCAGACAGGCCAAAGTGGGTCAGAATGACCCACGCACAGACAAAAAAGTGCATCGTTATTAAGACATGGTCTCGCTTGTCTCTCTGAGTGTAAGGTTAGAAGAAGTGATACGCTATCTACAAGGTGAAATAAGTAATGTTGCTTATAATAAGAATAACTTTATGTAATTAATAGTAATAACTTGTAATAACTTTATAATAATAACTTGATGAAATAAATGATAACCAAGTCATGACTATGCAGAAAATCAACACAGAAAAGTTATGCAAAAAGCAGACGAAAAGTTTCTTAAAATAAAATTTAATCTCTGGTTTGCAGAGCAGGACACAAAATTCGTTTTTTTTAGTGGGCAATGTCAGTGAAAATTATTATTAATAACAATTATTAATAACAATAGTTCGTTAATTTACACCGGTTGATTAAAACACCGTGTCAGCCAGAAAAATGAATGGGTCTTTTTGTCGAATATTGACTCACTTTTTTATTACTTGCACGAGCAGAGAGCGGACGTAGCATTGATACGTCCAGTAGCTTGGCCAAACTGGGTCAGAATAACCCAAACCAACACAAAAAGTGCATCGTAATTTGGAAAAATTTATACATATTTATTTGAGTGCATTATTGCCACAGCGATCACCGATCAGCAAGCAAGAAAATATAAAATATTTATTTTCATGATTATTCAAAAAATATTACTAACATAAATTTTGATGAGATTTAATGTAACAAAACAAATTACCCGAAAAAAAATAAACTTTATGATGATATTATGAAACATTTTTTTTAACGAATCTTGCTGTATTTCTTAAGAGAAATTCACTGTGAAGACAAATTGAATTTTTTAAGTATTCTTCAAATTTGAATTCCCACGCTGCTGCAAACCGAGGCATGATGCATACCATACCGTAAACGGGGGTGACTTGGACCGTTTTGACATGTAAAAAAAGAAATTAAAGAAAAGAAAAAGTTCATGCCTTATAAAAATTGTATTGATGGAAGTACCTTGAGAAAACCTATAAATGCAATGAAGAGATATATTTCAAGTGTATTTAATACGTGACTATTTCTATCACGAAAATATACGCGCTAAAATGGTCCAAGTCACCCCATTTGACGGTAATGTTGAGATATGCATTGTGAGTGGCAGTGTACAAATTGTGAGTGGCAGTGTACAAATTGTGAGTGGCAGTGTACAAATTGTGAGTGGCAGTGTACAAATTGTGAGTGGCAGTGTACAAATTCTTAGTGGCATTTTATTATAATTATTCTCATATTTTATAATATATCACACACGCAAGAGAATCTTACATAAACATAGTTGTAGTTTAATTTTTTTACATCGTAAAATATTTATTTAGAACAGAACTAAAGACGGGACGTTTGTTCCTGTAAAATTTTCGACTTTTAAATTTAATTTCAAACATACACTTCTAATTACACTTACAAAAATGTATGGGTTAAATTGTCCAAATATTGACTTACTGCATTGATTCAGAGGAAGAAAAGTGCATCGTTATTTGCACACAGCCTCACTTATTTCTCTGAGTGCTAACAGCCACATGATGGCCCTCATCTGGCCCAACTTGACCCACTTAGGCCCGGCAAAAGTGCGTATCATTGATACGTCTTATCTCTGTTCTAAAAAAAGTGTCAATATTTGGACAGCAGGACCCACTCATTTCTCTGAGTGATGTAGTGCAGGACAAAGGATGCCAGGCCGGTAATATTAGTCACTCATACAACTAACGTGGTAAGTGTCACACAAACTTATCGAGATCAATTGCTGTTATCTTTTATCTTTGCAGGAACTACGCGGCAACGAGACGAACAATACGCACTCAAAGAAGCTCCACCGAAAAAAATAAATTAGTAAAAGCGCTAAAATCATCAAATTGTTCACGTTTTGAATGAAATATTTATCTTTTGTCAGAGACATGACCAGGAAGAATTCATACAGGCATTCTGGTCAGAGACATGACCATGAAGAATTCATACAGGCATTCTGGTCAGACTCTTGACCAGAAAGATTTCATACAGGCATTCTGGTCAGAGACATAACGAGAAAAATTTCATACAGGCATTCTGGTCAGAGACATGACCCGGAAAAATTCATGCAGGCATTCTGGTCAGAGACATGACCAGGAAAAATTCATACATGCATTATGGTCAGAGATATGACCAGGAAGAGTTCATACAGGCATTCTGGTCAGAGACTTGATCAGAAGGTATTTATTAAATTCATGTTACTTGCTTTCTTTATAAACTGAAATGTTGAAGATAACAACAACGTTTTCTTGAAAAATTGAATATTTCGAAGACATTCTTTTGCAAGTCACGATTTTTTTAGTCCTAAACCAAAGAAAAAAATTTCGTCCATGATTGGCATTTAATCCTGAAAATCTAACGTCACAAAAATCTTAAGCCACATAAAACTGTTTAGTCGAAAAAAATTCATAGGAAATAAAATCAATAAATTTCAAACATGTCGTCAACTTCGATGGCCAAAAGCTTTTAATTTAGCAATTAATTCTAGAATTTAGAAAAAACTTCTTAAAGGCATAAATTTTAGTTTGTAGAAGCACTAATATAATAGAATAAATCAAGTTTAATCCTTGAATTACCAGTTCAGCTTTAACACTTTTTGAACATAACATAACAGGATACATGCTTACATCAAAATCAAGCCCCGTATAAAATTAAGAGTACTGCTGGTAATTCAGCATTGAAATCAAAACGAGAAAAAAACGAAGAAGAAAAGAAGTTTAGAAATAGACATGTTGATGGATGGATATGTTGAAATGCAAAGAGGGTCAATCCTTTCGCGGAAAAACATTGAAATATCATGCAATTAAAATTTCAGAAACCAGTAAAATAAAGTAAGAAGTATTATCCAAAACATTCAATCGTATGTATTTCTAAAAATTTCGCAAATGGAGGTTTAAATCGCACTTGAAGAATTTATTAAATGCGCTCATTCAACAAAATATTTTTTATAATCAAAATTTAGTTCATACAGATGAAAAAAGTAATAACATAAAAGTTTCCATTAATTCAATTCAATCATGTTACCTTAAATAATAAAACATATATTATGACTTCCACCTTTTAAAAAAATGCGCAAAAAGCGTCAATATAATCTTCCGAGTCAAAACTTTCATATTTTAATGATCATATTATATTTTTTAGGCATGGTAGGTGGTGATGATATACATGGAACGATGGTCAGATAATTAGTGATTAACTGAGGCCGTGATAAAGACGCCTTAAAAACAAACAGGAAGTCGTGGTGGGGCATTTTGTGAAGCAATTTCAAGTGACCATAAATGGTAACTTGCCATCAATGGGTTTAATGTTGTTCATGCAAATGCAAGCAAGCTGAAACATAAAAGAAGATATCAACCATCAATAAAAATTAAAATTCAGTAATGACATATAAGCAAAAGAAGGAGCCTTGAGGTACACAAGGGTTTCAATTGATAGCGATAACTCAAATACAAAATATACAGATTATACACTAGTTATAAATGGATAACGCATCTAACACAGAGATAAATGGATGGGTCACATTGTCCAAATCGAGATACCTATTCTTTCTCTCTGTAGCGTCGACACACTTTTTTGCCGGGTAAAACTGGGTCACAATGACCCACACAAGGACTAAAAATTCATCGCTATTTGGACATTTTTCTGAGTGAAGTGACAAAAACATTCAACAGAAAAAAAGTATTTGCCACAAAAATTCTGCAGGTCACCATATTTAATAAATTTTTTTCATTAAACTCAAGAAAAATTTTTTCTTGTCAAGAAATGAATAATTCAGAGAAAAAATTTGCTGTCGGCCAAAGTACAGCAGCAGAAATCGATAACATGAATTTATGAGAACTGTTCATATTCAAAAGCAGCGTTGCCAGACGCTAAAAAGCTGAACGAATGCATAATTCAGCGTTTAAATCCAGACGCTGAAATGTTGGATGGATCAGAAGAATAAATGAATATATCAGTAAAACTGAATGAATAAAGCTACTTCGTAACAAGCTTCATAACTTATAATCAAGTTTTTTTTTATCAAACAGAAATTCAAAACGCATCCGAGAAGAAGGCTAAACCAACAACGCTAAGCGGTATCAGCTGCAGCTCATTCAATTTATTCAGCTCTGAGCTGAATAAATTCCAGCCAAAGTTAAAAATTCCAGCTGCGTTACATTGAAGGTCCCAAGAGAAGGCTGAACGATCTTCAGATGAAGGCTGAGCTGCCAAGAAGGCAGGGTCTGGGCTTCTTGGCCGCAACTGGCAACTGCACAAGAATAAAAATCATTAATTACAATATTGTTTAAAATTAAACAACAATTATTGATTCATCTGATTTGTTTAGCCGCGATAGGTGAAATCTGTGATAGGGCATTTATCGACTGCTAGTTTTAAATAAACATTCATATTGTGATAGTTCTCTTAGTTTTCATTGCTCTCAGTGATTACAAACCCTTCCGAACTGAGTCAGAGTGACCCACAGAGGGCAAAAGGGCATCGATATTTGGCCAAGTCTCACACATTTCTCTGGGTGAAGCATTTATGAGAAACACCAACCAGACCCATGGAGATTTATTTATGTATTATGTATTACCATTCATACTCAGAATTACTCATTACATATCATGCATTACCAGGCCTACAAAGAATTACTCATTACATATCATGCATTACCAGACCTACGTCTGGTTATGCATGTTCTAATTGATTCTGCTTTTCTTATAGGTTTTGAACTTTTGAACTGACAATGGAGCTGGACTCTGAAACGTTTTCATTCTTAAGAAATGGTTAATATTCTGGCTGTTTTCTTTGCTTTTAAATTCCTGATTAACTTGCGATTTAAGCAATTTAGTAATTTTACTACTTACAAGCCTACAAAGAATTACTCATTACATACCATGCATAACCAGACCTACGTAGAATTACTCATTACATATCATGTATTACCAGGCCTACGCAGCATTACTTATTATATATCATGTACTACCAGCCATACAAAGAATTTCTCATTATACTATTCATCAGCAGACCTACATAGCAGGAGTTAGCAAGGAGTCCTGTAGACCCAGGAGTCTCTGTCGTATCCTTCATGCACGTGCTCCAGCAGCTTCTTGCGACGCTGGTCGCAGTATCTGTTACAAACATATTAGAAATAATAGTAGTATTGCATTAAATATTAAAATATAGATATTTATATAAATATTAAAATACTAATATAAGATTATTATTAAATTAGCATCATTTAATTAATATATATGAAGAACAAATAAAGTTACGATGAAATCAAATTCTGATATATTCACAATTCACAATAATTGTCCTGACATTTCTGTTATTAGCGTCATTTACATTCACTATAATTCACCGTCATTTGTCCTGGACTTCCTCTTCTTCATGGCACTTATACACGTCAATTCACATGTATTAGAAGTCAAGTTTAAGTTATTCATGTGAATTATTCACCTGTATTTATCCTGAACCTTCTGCTCGATATCAGCGAGGTTGGCCTGCGTAATTTCACATGTATTTAATCAGAAATTCGAGTTATTCATGTGAATTATTCACCTGTATTTATCCTGAACCTTCTGCTTGATATCAGCGAGGTTGGCCTGCGTGATGTCTCGCTCGAGGTACTCGGAGAGCTTCTCGGTCGAGGCCTCGAGGTCCCGTTGGTTGTCCTCGAATATTGCGCTCTGGTTGTTCTTTTGTAGGTAATACGCGAACACATATGTGTACATGAGTGTCTGGCGACACTCACACAGGATGTCTACGGCCTTCTGAAGAAACTGTACCTGCACACAGAACACATATGTGTACATGAGTGTCTGGCGACACTCACACAGGATGTCTACAGCCTTCTGAAGAAACTGTACCTGCACACACAACACATGTGTACCTCAGTACCTACACACAGAACACACATGTGTACACGAGTGTATGCACACACAACACATATGTGTACATACATGTTTGTCTGCACAGAAATGCTTATGCTCACATGTGAATTAAACAAAGCGAATTCAATTTCTGGAATTTAATTGGATTTGAATGGCATTGAATTAGATGTTAAAAGCATAAGATTGAATTTTTTTAGCATAGAATTGCATATTCTTCTGATAAAATTTAATTAGTGTCATTCAATATAATTCCTGGCATTTGATCGACTTATGACATGATCATACGTTTAGATTAGATTCTCATGTCACTAATAACCTAACCTCCATGTCATGCTCCTCACCTCAACCCATGACATTGTCATGTTCCTCACCTCAACCCATGACACTGTCATGTTCCTCACCTCAACCCATGACATTGTCATGCTCCTCACCTCAACCCATGACATTGTCANCAGTGGTAATTATTGGTAATGGTTACACGAATACCTGCAACAGTGGTAATTATTGGTAATGGTTACACGAATACCTGCAACAGTGGTAATTATTGGGAATGGTTACACGAATACCTGCAACAGTGGTAATTATTGGGAATGGTTACACGAATACCTGCAACAGTGGTAATTATTGGTAATGGTTACACGAATACCTGCAACAGTGGTAATTATTGGTAATGGTTACACGAATACCTGCACAAGCATGGTAATTATTGGTAACTGTCACACAGATACCTGGGCAAATGTGCTAGTTATTGTAAAAATTTGTAATTACTGGGCATTTACTCTTGCACAAACACATTTTTTTCAAACTAATTGCAATTTTAATATTTATTTATTATTATGCAAGCACCTGAGCAAACATAGAAAGTTTATTAGATTATTGTATAGTCATTTTTTAATTATATTCTGCAGAAGCGGATGCTATTACAGGAGCATATGCACAAACGTGTTGAAAATTATTGGGCATTTATAATTGATAATAAAAGCCTACTATGCGTCCAATGGAAATAGCAGAATAAACAAATAAAATATTAATTAGGTATAAGTGTAATTATAACTTGTCCAAATTGTGCGTGGTTTTGTATACAATTTTTTACAGTATGAAAACATGTACATAGCGGCGCCCCAGCGTGATCTGGGACTGCAACATCTAGAATAATAATAAATGAATGAGCTAAAATTATCCCATTAAATTATCATTTACGATGCCATTGTAATAGGCGATCAAACTTGCAATATATAAAATCTAAAGAATATCTCGAATCTAAAATAACATTAATTCAACATTATTTAAATGTCCGATAACTTGTGAGTTTCCATCTCAGTAAATAAAGTTGAAATAACGTTGTTTACTCGATGTTATTTCAAAGTACAATGCTTGGCTCTCACCATGTCTGGCTTGCTGCAGACATTACTCACCATGATGTTATGAGTACATACGTCCTCATGATGGCTGCAGACATAATAATCATAATAATAGCGGTTTCGGCGTTTAGTAGGCCGTAGGCCTGTCGCCGATTCTCAACATCGCAGAACATTCACAGCATTTTGCGGTCTCGAACTCGCAACTCACTGCTACAATTCTGCTGTGCTTAACCGCCCGGCCTCCTCACCGATTCTGACCAGAAACTGGCGCACAGAGCTGGGATCGAACCCGCGCTCCTCTACGTTAATCATGGTACTCAGAACTGTAACCACTGGGCCACCTTGTACATAAAGATTTATGACAACCTTTGCAGGTTGCAAAACATAAATTTTAGTCCAACTAATCCATCATACTCACCATGATGAGCCATGAGGCTCCCAGGGCCCCAGGCAGACCCAGCAAAACTCAGACTTGCAGGCGACGTTCTTGCAGACCATGTGGTTACAGCCTCCGTCCTTCTCTATGATCACTCTACACTTAGGGCACTCCTGTCAAAATAAATCATTTGTACACAAAACTATTTATTCGTATATGGTTACTTTACATTCGCTACAGTAAAATGAGGGAGAGAACAGTTTGTTTGAATGCAAGGGTCCACAACGTGTTTGATATTGACTCCTGAAGGGGTTCAAAGACGGACTTCAAGGAGTACGATGAATTGGTAGGGGTTGAAAGGGAGTCAATCATGGAAAATATAATATATCTATATTTTAACATACTTTAAAAGAAACTCAGTTCGGTGATGACAGATATCCATATGAAAAACTCGCTGTCATCATCACATTTCTTGACCCACACATAACTTACTTCACGTATATTGACTCACGTATAACTTACTACTTCATCACATTTCTTGACCAACTAACTAATATTTTACCCAGGGATTCAAACGAAACTGACTTTGGTGTTAGCAGATATCCAGTTGGAAGTCTCGCTGTCATCATCGCACTTCTTGACCCACTCTTTGAGCAGGCTGCACTTGACTGGGTCATGCCAGTTGGCCCCGCAGCTGAAGCAGAAGACGTGCTGACACTTGCACTGCACGCGTCGGGCGTCCGCGTGGGGCGCCTTCACCACGAACTTGCAGTCGGGGAATGGGCACCAGCGCAGCTGTCTGTTGCACTGCCGGGGCATGGGGCGTGAGAAGGGGCATGGAGCGTGAGAAGGGGCATGGAGGGCGTGAGAAGGGGCATGGAGGGCGTGAGAAGGGGCATGGAGGGTGTGAGAAGGGGCATGGAGGGCGTGAGAAAGGGCATGGAGGGTGTGAGAAGGGGCATGAAGGGTGTGAGAAGGGGCATGGGTGACGTGAGAAGGGGCATGGGTGACGTGAGAAGGGGCATGGGTGACGTGAGAAGGGGCATGGGGCATGACAAAGATTAATTAAGAAGTAGAAACATGGGAGGTATGGGGAGGCCTTCTTTCTCTCAAAACAAAACAGGTCTCCACAACACACAACATTTATTATTGACACTAAAATCGAAATTATTAGTAACAGAGAATCTTTACATTAAACATTTTACCTCAACTAAACTCTGACACAAAGAAGATGCGTTCAAAATGAAAAGCAGCAATAGTCTTACGGCCAAAATAAAAAAAAAACGGTCAATATTCTCACCTCAACGAAGCTCTGGGATATTCTATGTTGGTATATAAGCTTGACTTTAGGATCCTTCAGGAGACTCATGACTTGACTGTCCTCCACGACCACAGGACAGTTGTACCCCGCACATGTAATGCACTGGCCCGTGCCCTCGTCTACTACCTTCGTACTGATGTACTCGCTCCAGCATGACAAACAATAGCGGTGGCCGCACTCCAGCCCAGACATCATCTGTAGCATTACAACAATATTAAGCATATTACTTTTTTTAACAATAAAATGTCAACAACCTTCATAATAATGTACTTTCTTTAGCAAAACATACAATAGTGGTGGCAATTGCATGATTAAAAGATAAAATGGTACAGCAAAAACAGGGATTACAATATTACAATTGTACAGCAAAAAACATGACCCAGTGACGTTTGAAATTTTCTAACGATAAAATATCTACAAGCTTGGTAGTACTAGTGTACTCGCTCCATCAGAACATGCAATGTCATCTGCAAGATAAAATAAAATAAACAGAAACATAGTTAATCCTTCTGTAACTAATCTAAAACATGATTAAACTTAGTTACACTGTTTACTTGAAGCACTTATTAGTTTGCGTGCAATGCCCCTAAGTACGTGGATTGATATTGTCGTGGATATTAATATCTATGACAAAGATATTAAGGCAAATAACTACTGTTATGCAGTTCGTATTACAATGAAAACATTCGAGGGTTATCGTATGTCCAAGAAACATATTGGTGTGAACATGACGTTTTTTTGCCGTTGTGCAACAATGGATGTTTTTTATACATGAAATTTTATTTAGATGGATAACGAGAAAGCAATACAAAGGTTTGATATTTGCATTCTTTGCGATGTTCCTACACATTACGAAAAAGATATTTTTCGTCAGTGCACGTCAATTCAATTTATAATATAAAACTTGCATCATCAAGGTATTGGAAGGCTGATATTTTGTTGAGTATAAACAGTATTTGTAAATGGAAAGGCCATCAAAATCTGGAGCTAACAAAGCTTGCCATCCAAAATGGATGACAAATGGATGACTACTCATTCATCTCAAGGAATGACAAATGGGTTGTTGCTCATTGAAGTAAATGGATGACAAATGGGTTGTTGCTCATTGAAGTAAATGGATGACAAATGGGTTGTTGCTCATTGATCTTTCTTTTTGTATGGACTGGCAATCTGTGCTTCTTCAAAAAGCTTCTCCTGGTTGCTGTCAAAGAAGCGCTCCATGAGCTTCTCCTTGTCCCATCTGAAGTGATTGAGCAGCAGCCGAGCTGTCGTGTGCGAGATCTGCAATACAAGAAATCATGTTTGTATTTTATTATTACCACCTGGGCAGGACAAATAAATAAATATATTCCTGGCAACAGATGTGCTGCAGTGTTAGATTCAAGCCCAGTGACCTAATTAAAGTTTCATTTAAATAATTGTTCAACTAAGAAGTTAAAGGCAATTTTTATGATGATCAACTGAAGCAGGCAAGTAACCCATCATGTGAAATGTCATTAATTGGATTTTAGATTGGATTTGATAAAAATTAAAAATATTCTACATCTATTAGTGCTAGATTTAAATTAGAAGTGTGGACTGTGATTATAATAATGACTAAAGTTCCATTCCAATAAATTCGAAACTGACCATTAAATATTAATATACTGCATAACAAATGGTCATAAAAAATGAGATATGTCATGAAATATAAAACTCAATGTGTTAATTTCAAGCATGACAATTGAAAATGGTGAGCATTGTTGACACTGAATGGTAACACAACATCAATAGAACTTCTTGAGGAACATGAAATAGAAAACATGCAATAGAATGAAGTCAACATTAGTTAGCTTAAATTGCATGATCATTGAACAACATATTACAAATAAATTCCTTACATAAATTTCTCAGTTTATACAGAGAAAAAGATACAAAGATAAATATCTAAATAGTTTTTAATTCCTCAATTATTATTTAACATATGAACTAGGATGTTGCTAAAGTATGATCAGGGACTGGCATGTTTAAATACTACATACCGTATAATATATATATATATTACCTATATATTCATACCCATCTATTTCTATACATACCAAGTATCCTATATGCATACCAATTATACCAAGGATAATACAGCCTTAATGAGATCTGACCTTAACAACACTGTTGAATTCTTTGATGCACTCAAGCATGTGTTCTGAAACATCTTCAGTTGAGAGAATTTCATAAGCCAGGTCCTCATTGTCTCTGATGTAGCGGTTGGCAGGGCCAATTCCTCCTTCACCATCACTATCAAAATCAAGTCCAACATCAACATCACTTGACTCATTTCCACTATCACTATCATAATGATAATCTTGCTCCATATTGAATCTGTTGAAGAAAAACATTAAAATGAATTCATCATAAAATCAGAATGAAAGCTGCTCAAGGGACTTTTAATACATTTCAGTTTCCTTCTAAGGACTTTCTGGTTAGGAAAGTGTGGTTTACTTTTTTCTAAATAAAATAGATAGTACCATCAAACAGGGCAATAAGGGACAGGTGGGGTAAATCAAGAAAGTCCTCCATCGTGGCATAAAAATGTCATAGCAGTGAAGCTAATTAAAATATTGCAAAACATCAACATTTTCCCTATATATGTTAGCATAAAGGAAGTTAGAAAATTATACTGCTCCAAAAAATTCCCTGAAAAAATGCTAGGTACAAAATATAGGGTACCTTCATATGGGTTAATAAGGGATGATTTTGAGCATTTTTTGTTAATAACTTTTTACCATTAATTATTTCATAAACAAGTTTGGGCTTATTTCAAAGGTGTGAAGGCTATCATATGGCATCTCAGAAAAAATTCCATTTGCTATTTGTAAGGTGCCAGATGCAAAAGAAAAGCATCCTGAATTACCCCTGGAAACAGGATAATTCCAGAAACTTGAAATAAAACTTAATTTTAAAACGTTTGGAGCATGGAGAGTGTAGTACTCATCCATTATTAACAGTACTCTGAAGTCCTCCTCTTCCTTTGTAGGTGATGTAGAATAAATAACATTTTCTGTGATTTGTACCTGTTTTTTCTTCTTGATATGATATTGCCATATCCATACATTACTGTATTATTGATGTAATATTACCATATCCATAGACATGCTATTGAGCATTGACAATGATCTTGTCCACTGCAAGCTTCATATCAGAAGCCATGTAGCATTTCTTCTGTATCTGTAAGCATACAGGGCTGGACTTGTAATTTCACACCAGTTTAATTGGGTTGAGTGAATTCACCATACCAAAAAAAATATAGGTAACTCAGTACTCACTGCAGTGAGTGACAGAGAGCGCATTTTCTCGTCAACGAAAACATGAAGTCACGGACGGACAGACAGATGGACAAGGTGAGCACTGAGCACAATAGTGCATTTTTTTTCATGAATGAGAAAATGCACTAAAAATATTGCAAAAACATACTTCAAACAGAAAGGATTTTTTAAGTGTCAACCATCATCTTCTTTGGAGGAATAAATCATTGTTTAGCTTAATTACTTTTCATTCTATGTTGCCTGGTGCACAATTTGATCTTTGACATTCTATGCACAATTTTGTGGTGACCGATGATGCATTAATTTTTTTATGTGAATTTTTTAGCTAAGCCAGGTGAATGTAATCAAAATTTTTTGTTGTTAATTGATTTTTTTGTTAACTGGAGCCTTTGCTAACCAAGGTTCTACTGTAAATGAGTTTTTAGGGGTGTCCTTTATTACCCCGGCGAGGAGTCCCTTATTACCCCTTCGTGCGGAAATGGCCGCCATTTTTTTTTTTTGAATGAGCTATACAAATTCTGTCAATCACGTTTTTAAGCTGACACCTGTATGTAACTTTATGCAAGTAAAATTTTTTAATACCAGTACTGTGGATATTTTTTATTGCTACAGACCTTAGCAGAGGTACTTTCCCAAAATCTCTCTTTTCACACTTTTTTCAGGGATTTTTTAGAGGTACCGGTAGTTAATACATGATTTCTTAACTTGCTTTATGTTACATAGATAGTAAAAATGTTGAACTTTACACTACCATTTTTAGTTTTGCTACATTTTAATTAGTTTAGCTGCTACAACATTTTTATGAAATGTCAGAGGACTGTTCCTTATTACCCAGCCCATCCCTTATTACCCCGTTTGACAGAAGCATTCTTTCAGGCACAAGGCATTAGGCTTGCAAAACTTTACATACAGATGATCCAATCTGGAATAACAGAGAGAATTTTCTTAAAATCATGGGTAAACAAATTGTTTCAATAACATATTATATATTAGCAAGACACATGGCCAAGATATGCTATTTTCTACTTCTTTATTTTCACACTCACAAGAAATTAGGCAAGACTCAAGAGCCCTAGGTATGAATAAAAGTGTCCTCATGCAGAAAAGTTTTTGTCTTATTCATGCTTGACTTCTGCCCATTATTCCAATTTGCTCATTGCTCTTAGTTACCTACAACCGAGATTGAAATTTTCCTACTTGTTTCTGGTATCTTAGGGCTCCGGTATGATGAATTTTTGAGACATATTGAATTTCACAGCCCAATCAAGCAATCATGAGTGAATCATGCACTTTTGATAACAATAAAATAGAAGGTATTTCACCCTTAAGGGAATTGTGCAGTTCCTAAAATTGTGGGAAAGCTCTAGTTGCAGGTTGATTGGTAGATATATATATACATGGTGCAATTCAATGGGTTATTTAAAAGAACCTGGTATCATGACATTTTGAACTGATCATGCTTCTTTACGGACTGAGCGCCCCACCGCACGACACACCTTGCCCGGCAAAAACTTCTTTACTTTTGAAGAAAGCGGCAGTTTCACTGTCAGCTCAGCTGATAGCTGCACTGGGCGTGGGTGGGCATTATTTGAATTTGAATGCATGCATAGATTTGAAATCCTATCCCATACTTTACGAGTCCTAAAGAGCCTAAATTTTTAATATGCAAATAAAAAATTTATGTTTCTGCATGGATTATAATGCTGTTACCATTAAAAAACTTTGAATTATCTCGGATGCAAGAAATACTTGCTTAAACAATTTTATTTTCAATAAAAGCAACTGGATGCAAGCCTTGGTTTGCAAAAACCAAGATAGCTTGCAACAACAGTAATTTCAGTGGACATTCATTTCTAAATTAAAATTTATTTATAAAGTATTTCTTGCATAAGAGATACTTTTAAGTATTTCAATGTTAACAGCATTAAAATCCATGCAGAAACGTAAACATTCAAAAGGTTTTAGGCTAAAATTTATGCTCCAAGTCCAAAGAACTGAAACCGATTTCAAATCAAAAATTACCAATGAATCGCGCTTCTGGCAGCTTCTGTCACAGCTGATTGCAGTTGCCGTGCATTTTTACTAAGGGATAGCCCAAGTTGCCAATACCTATTATTGTAGTCTTCGGTTGGTAAAAAATTTACAAATAACCTTGAATTATTGATTGCTAATTTCTTGCATTAGGTAAATGTTTATGATTAAAATTAATCATAGAAGTTGTCTCTCCATAATTCCATGTTGAATTAAAATTACCCATAGAAGGTTCACATACAGATGCCAGCGCCAGCAGCGGCAATCAAATGAACTACCTACTTTATTGTTTAGTATGTTGACTAATAATATAATAATATAATAATATCGTATTCTGTTTAGGTCCGGTCTCTCAAAGTGTTCCAGCAACATGTTTTCCATTACTAATTATTTAAATGTATTAACTTGTGGTGCAGTAAGATATTGAATAGTTTGAATTCAAAACAAAGATGGCGCGCCCGCATTCAGATGCCAGCTCCAGCAGTGGCGATCAAATGAACTACTTTATTGTTTAGTATGTTTACTATAATAATAATAATAATATAGTTAAGTATTCTGCTTTGGCAGTCTCTCAAAATGTTCCAGCAACATATTTTCCATTACTAATTATTTACATTTATCTATTTGTGGTGCAGAAAAATATTGCATTGTTTGACAACACAGTCAATGTACCACGTGTTCATATTGTTATAGTGTTGTTGTGTGACGTCACCGCAGGCCTGCCCAGCCAGCCGTATGTAAACAAAGCCACAGCAGTGAAGATGGAAGCGGCTTAGCATTGCAATCGATGGTTATTTGTGAATAACATTTTTGATTGTGATATTGCAACATATTTCTGATTGTGAAAAAATTTTGATTGTGATATTGACACTTGACAGTAGTGTCAACATTTGAAAATCAAAGTTCTAACATCATGAGTTATGAGGTAAAAGTGAAAGGACTGAGCAAAGCTAGAAACATGGCTGAGGCTCAACCGATGTCATTGTCATTTTTTACGTTATTGATATCGTTCTAGAACCAACTTAAGTGGTAACTAAGGAATTTCCCAGTTCAAATATTTATTGATTTATTTATATCAATTTCAAAACTTCACATATTTCTAGAGGGAGTTGTGAGGAGAACATGGGGTTGAACTGTTGAGTTTAGACCATTGCAACTTGCAAGAGGAGCCCAAGGGCCAAGGGCATGGGGCTTTGCGAAGGGTTAAGACCGCCACACGGCGGTGGACCGCCATAAGTACCTCTCTTCATAGAATTCCACTATGTTATATATACCATGCCAGGCATGCCTGACTCAGCTGACTGGTGCACTTGCTGCAACTAGTTTTACATAAGTATAGGTATGATGCACAAAGTGGAAAATTGGCAGAGAAAACACCCTTGAATCTGGCCAAATTTTTCACTATTGCTGTGGCTTTTTCTCAAATTTTCAGTAAAAATAAAAAATAAGAAAAACTATATATTTTCACCTTTAATTTTTAAAAATCACATTCACATGTGAGGCAAAGAAATTAGGGTAAACGCGGTATATTCCGACATCGTAGGTAATTCCGTCACTTCTCTAGTTTTTCCTTTATATTAAGCTTTGTTTTAGTTCCATGCGTTCATTGATGGTTGAAATGGTGACGTCATACATCTGTCTCTTATACACATCTAGATGTGTATAAGAGACAGCACATGAACCTGTGTATCTTAACACAGATGTGCCACACTTGAACTTGTGTATCTTAACACAGATGTGTCACACATGAACCTGTGTATCTCAACACAGATGTGCCACACTTGTATATCTTAACACAGATCTGTCACTAAACTCTAGTTCACGCAAGTCAAACTAGCGTTAAATGCATAAGTCAATGTGTGCACATTACCAACAAAACTAGAGTTACTGATAAAATTGGAAGCGCCTCTAGTAGCTAAGCACCTAAATTAAACTATCATTGTTTAATTACACGAGGATTTATTGAACCATTTCCTGAATAAGACCGGCATTTGGCGAGTCTGCGCTCACATTTGCAGTTAATTTATAATATAAAAGAATTCATTAAATAGGCTAACATTCCGAAATGAAGCGACCACATAGAAGTTCCAACATCACCATCAGCCTTCATCAAGTCCCTACATCACCCATCAAGTCCCCCACATCAGCCATCCTCCTTCATCAAGTCCCACATCTCATCATCCCCCATAAAGTCCCCCACATCACCCATCAAGTCCCCCACATCAGCCACCCCCCTTCATCAAGTCCCCCACATCAGGCACCCCCCTTCATCAAGTCCCTCATCTCCTCGTCCCCCATGTCCCAGTGCCAGGGCAGACATATCTCCCCGTCCAACATGACCGCGTAATATTTGGTCACCCAGACCCTGGCCCCCGTCAGCAGTGGCAGGAGAGTGTCAGCGGCTGCCAGCAGACGCCCTAAGCAGCTGATCATCTCCAGGGGCACCACCGAGTCATCCTTCTCCAGCATCTCCAGCGAGAACACTGACTGGCAGAGCGCGTGCAGAGACTTCTCGCGCTCTGTTTCCCTGTAAAATGTATATATTTTTTCCAATTTTCAATGGAATTTTCATATAATTTTCGAATCTTCTAGTTATTATATTCTATACAAGAAAATGTGTGAAAATTTAAAGCTTTGAAGCATCTCCAGCAAGAGACCGAATGGCAGAGCGCGTGCAGAGACTTCTCGCACTCTGTTTCCCTGTAAAATATAATTTTTTTTATTTTTAATGCAATTTTTATATATTTCTCGAATCTTTTCATATATCTTTTTTATATATAAGGTCTCGAATCTTTTATTTATCATATTCTGTATAAAAAATGTGTGAAAATTTCAAAGACCGAGTCTTTGAAAGTAAATTTTTTCCAGCATTTCCAAAGAATTTTTATTTCAAGACATTTTTTTATTGTTGAATTTAAAGAAAAACAACAAATTTGTTTAATTTTAGTTTTTTCTAAAAAATATATTCATTAAAAAGTTCTCTATAATAATGAATGCGTTTTCTTTTTATGCTTCAAAGATAATTCATAAATTCTTAGCAAGTGGAGGAGCATGCACATTTTTTCAATAGTTAAAATTTTATTGATTCTTGGAGCATCAAGATCTTGACTTTAAAGAATGATTACGCAAGTTCACGTCTCTTACTGCAAAAGTACTTATAAATATATCTAATGATTAATTGGGTACGTTATTTGCAGTTGGAAAATTGTTTACTTTTTTAATTGTTCAACTCTTTTATGAAAACGTTCACTTTTTTATGAATACTCTTACTAAGCGGCACTTTTTATGGAAAAAATTGTCAATTAATTGTGACTATTAATCTTTAGCATCGTGTTTATAATCAAAATACAGCCTAGAGAGTAAAATAAATCGGTGAATGAGGTTAAACATAACAACAGGAGGGCAGGTGCCTGCTGCAGGTGCCTGCTGCAGGTGCTGCTGCAGGTGCCCACTCACTGTGAGCAAGAGGGCGTACCAACCAATTCAAACATTGGAATCTCCTCCGCTCCCTAGCCGGAAAGAGGAACCGCCCTCCCCCCAATCAGCCAATCCAATTTGGTCGGATTACCCTCTCCTCCCAACGCAAGATCTCCTCCGCCTTCTGCAAGCTTTTCAATTCGGTCGCTCCTCACCTTCAGATCCCCTCCACCCGCCGCCTCATACGTCGAATACGAGCCCAACATCCCCTCGACTTCTCCCCTTTCACCCCCGACATGGTGAAGCTTGCCATCGCAGCCGCCAATAACTCTTCCGCTCGGGGTCCTGATGGCCTGACGGTTCTACATCTCAAGCACCTCGGCCCGCGTGGCCTCCAGTTTCTCACACATATCTTCAACATCTCCGTCTCCACAGCCTCTATCCCATCCATTTGGAAAAATTTAATAATTATTCTAATCCTCAAACCGGGCAAACCCGGTAACCAGGGCTCTTCATACCGCCCTATCTCCCTCCTCTGCCCTGCAGCCAAGATCCTAGAGCGTCTTGTGCTCCCTTACATCTTGGGATCTCTCACCACCGTCCCCTCGCAACATGGTTTCAAGCCGGGACATTCCACTGTCACCGCCTTCCTCCCGCTCGCGCACCAGATCACGACGGGTTTTAACTCCCGGCGCCCTCCAGCCCGCACAATCGCCGCGGCAGTCGACCTCTCGAAGACCTTCGACAACGTCGACCACCTGAGCATGATCGCGGCCTCGGACCTACATCATAACCTGGTCCGTTGGCTGTGCTGCTACCTTAGAGGCAGGCTGGCGCCCTGCCTCTACCTCAGAACGCAGTCGCCTTTCAGGGCTGTTTACTTCGGAGTGCCCCAGGGCTCGGTCATCTCACCAGCCCTCTTTAACCACTTCATCTCCGACATCCCAGTTCCGACCCCCAACATTGCCTCATATGCGGACGATCTTACCATCTTCCTGTCGTCCCCGAGGCTCGACGCTGCTGAGGCTGAGCTCGCTGTGCTCCTTCGGAACGTCTCTGACTGGTCGGCGGCCAAGAAACTGGGCGTGGCTCTTGGTAAATCCTCGGTCACGCTATTCACCCCAGACACCCACCAATCTCGATCCCACCCTGCTGCCACTATCTGCAACGGCGTCATCCCCCTGGATAAAACCCCTAAAATCCTGGGCGTCACCTGGGATACGCACTTCACATTCTCCCCTCATGCAAGAGCCATTGTGCCGCCTACTTCGAGGATAATAAATCTTCTCCCGTAGGTGGATTAACAGCCACCAGGATTTGGGGTATATATTTGTTAAAACTGCAAGGAACCAGAAAACACGAGTCAATTTTAAAAACTACGTTTCCCTTCGATTATTTCACTATTCACAAGCACGGTCGCTTAAAATAGAAATTAACAAAGCAATAACACATTATCACTTCCTTTAAAACTTACGACAATGTTGTTTCGGGGCTAGTTCAGCGTCGACTATTTTATTTGCAAAAGCACCCGACAACGCATAAAGGAATGTTGCCACTAGCAGGGACATAAAATTTCTCTCAATGAGTAATCTCGTGTTTCACACGAGACAGCCATCGCCACGAAAGCGACGGGTTCTCTTCGCATCCTGAAAGCCCTAGCTGGTACCAACTGGGGCTTCTCCAAGGAGGACATTATTGCAACCTACCGAACCATCACGCGCCCAATCCTTCTTCTGGTACCCTGTCGCCTCACGTACAGCAGTTGCCAGCCTGCAGATAATACTAAACACTGCATTGAGACTGGCCACCGGCTGCCTCAAAATGGCCCTGATCTCCCATCTTCACCAGGAGACCGGCGTCCTCCCATTAGCTGCGCATCTGGATCTGGCTTGTGCCCAGTTCCTCGCCAGCGCCCTCCAGCCCTCCAATACTTCATTCCGCATCGTTTCTGCCCCCCGGGGTACCGCCCCATGAGAGCCTCCGTCCAGTCGAGGTTCGGTCACCTGGTCACATCATTCCTGGACAATGGCATGATGCCTGCTGGTGCCTACGGAGAGACCAAGCGGTCACTCCGCAGGGAGATCGCCTCCCGCATCGCGGCGACTGACGCCATAAACGCCGTCCTCGCAGCTCCGCCACCGCCGATCGCATCAGTGGAGACCTCACTCCCCCGCTCCTACCGCTCAGCGTTATCCCAGTTCCGCTCGGGATACTGCAGCTCCCTGGCGTCCTACTCCGCCAGGATCGGACGCTCCCCTAGCTCCGCCTGCCCGGAGTGCGGGGACCCCCTCCAATCCGTTCAGCACCTCTTCGTCTGCCCCGCTTTCCCCACGTCTCTCAGCGTCTCCTCACTGTGGGACAACCCCGTGAAGGCAGCGGCTTTCCTGGCCACCCTCCCTGCCTTCGCCCACCTCCCCCCTCTTCCGGTGCCGGCCCCCAGCCCACCACCAGAGCCTCCCCCCGGCGAGCGTGACGGACGCAATAAACAACAACAACAACAAGAGTGCAGGTGCCTGCTGCAGGTGCTCACTCACTGCGAGTAGGTGAGCAGGAGGGCAGGTGCCTGCTGCAGGTGGTCGCTCACAAAGGTCAGGAGCTGGGCAGCTGGGCAGGAGGAGGGAACGAGCAGCTGCCCTGTGGGCGACAGCGACATCGGCCCCCACGCCCTGAGAAGTTAATACATTTCAAATAAAACTAATTAAAATAAATTAAATTCAAATTTATAATAAACATTTAAATATCAGTATTAGAACCAGGGCAACGTAGCCCTCCAGGTCCTCAATAATTAAGTGTTGCAATACAAATAATCAAAAAAATATTTGATACAGGCCATAGTAATATCTAAAAATGTCAAGTAATTAATTAATATTAAAACAATAATAATAATAAGATAATAATAATAATATAATAATAATAATATTGAGGACGCACGGCTCGACCACGAGCTGCAGGTGGCTGAGGGACGGCGGCCAGTGCTGAGGGAGGCCGTGGCGGCCACGGTGGTCGCTGAGGGCCGTCACCAGGCGCTTGAGGTCGTGGCCATAGCCACGTGCCACCACGCTGCCACCGAACTTCCTGGGGGACAGGGGTGGGGGTGAGGGGGGCTGGTGGCAGAAGCGGCCCCGGGGGCTGGACAATGTCTCATTCATTTCCATGAGTGTGCCCTAGTGGAGCGAGAACTTCAGTGCAATTTCATAGTTCATTTTTTTAAATTTCGTTATTTTCGCTGGTGCTATTATAAGTTGGCGCTGAAGTTATAAGTTGGCGCTGAAGTTATAAGCTGGCGTTGAAGTTATAAGCTGGCGCTGAAGTTATAAGCTGGCGTTGAAGTTATAAGCTGGCGCTGAAGTTATAAGCTGGCGCTGAAGTTATAAGCTGGCGTTGAAGTTAGTAAAACTTGCCATTATTGGATTATAAAAAACTGGATTTGTATGGATTATTAAAAAAAATCCATACATAGTTTAATATTTTGTTGTATCCTGTTTTTTTATTAGAGTTTTTATCGGCTATTGCTGAAGTAATGTTATACCAGGCATTATTGGATTATATACCAGGCATTATTGGATTATATACCAGACATTATTGGATTATATACCAGGCATTATTGGATTATATACCAGGCATTATTGGATTATTAAAAAATGTTTTATTATAGTTAAACAATGAATAATGCATCATAGCACTTATGCGAAGTATCAGTAGATTAATTGATCATTTTGAATAATTTAACAACTTTAATTATTATGGATTAATAAAAAAATCCACACCTGGTGGATTTTATTGCATCGATGCCCACACCTGTTTAATGCTTGTATAAATCCTATTCTTTTCATTAGTGCCTTTATCAGCTGTTGCTGGTGTTAGCGGGTTATCAAAAAATGTATTATTAGGAAAATTATCAAAGGAATAACTATACCACTGGTTAATGGAGGTATATATTAGTGGAATTTCACACAAATGGATAATAAAAGAAATAATGCATACCGGTGGGTGACATGGATACCACGCAGGCCTATGGATACAGCGCGCTGCAGATCAGGGATCCTGCTCAACATGGCGTCCACCTCAGCCAGCTGCTGGATAAACTGTTAGGGCAGGATAAACATCTTGTTTACTGCACTCAGAAGAATCAGTGAGACTTTGTACAAATATTGTACGTTAATCCCACAAATATCGTACGTTAATCCCACATATAGTGCTGCACTCTCAGCCCTCGTATAGGTTATTCAGCTTGGTCTGGCAAGGTTGCGCATCAGTGCTGCTACCTTCAGAAAGTGTGTCACCATTTGGAGGTAGGTGTGTCACTACAACTAAGTTTTGTTAGTATTTTCAAGTGTAAAAACTTCTACATTTACGTTAATCCAACACACAGACATCGGATTTACGTTAATCCCATATTATATTAATATAATTTTAATATAGTGTGGCATACGATTTATATAATGTGTGATGATGGGAAATAATCATTTCCCATTGATAACATTTATTAAAATATGACCAATACTCACGCTGACCCATTGACTGTATTCACGCTGAGCCACTGACTGTACTCACGCTGAGCCACTGACTGTACTCACGCTGAGCCACTGACTGTACTCATGCTGAGCCACTGACTGTACTCACGCTGAGCCACTGACTGTACTCACGCTGAGCCCCTGACTGTACGCACGCTGAGCCACTGACTGTACTAACGCTGAGTCACTGACTACTCACGCTGAGCCCCTGACTGTACGCACGCTGAGCCACTGACTGTACTCACGCTGAGCCCCTGACTGTACGCACGCTGAGCCACTGACTGTACTCACGCTGAGCCACTGACTTTTGACCTCAGCGGTGCCCAGCACCACTGCCCCACTGAGGCTCACGCCGGTCACGTTTCCGAAATGCAGCCGCCGTCCTGGAAAAATTGTACAAAATAGAAAATTTGCATTACAAAAATGATTGATATTCAGAATAATTAATCAAAAAATCAAATAAAATCAAATCAGATGAATGATTAAGAGAGATAAATTTGTTTCAAGTTATATGTTTTCGTAAGACTACGAAGATAATTAAGAATAAGAATAAATGATGAAAAGTTACTATTTACAGGGTCAGGATATAATAAAAAATTAGGAAATAAGAGAAATTAGTATAAGAGTACGTCTCATGGTACCTACATGCTACCCACCAGCCAGCATGGTACCTACACGATACCCACCAGCCAGCATGGTGCCCAGGTCCCGGTAGTCACGGTACAGCTCCAGCACGCCACTGAGGCAGCCTCTGAGGCGGGTCGTGGAGGTCGCGATGTCGGAAGTCACGGTGCTCACGCCCAGCTCCTGGTGAGTATCATGATAACATAAGTACACTGATGTTAACCCTATACGTACCTCCGTATGCCATTCTCAGGGAACATAACTAACAACTTAAATTATATGTAAACTATTGAGTTTGGCAACCTAAGGACATTTGTACGCAACAGAGAATATTATAATCGTGCATGGCAGCAACCATCAGTGAAAGTCATACTGCGCTCACTTTTTAGGTATAGACTTGTGTGACAATATTGCTCCGGTTACTCATGTCAGGCGGTAGAGGGTTAAATAACAATACAGAATTCAAATGTTGTATCAAAGACAATAGTAATGTATGCTTAATCCGGCACTCACGGTCCTGAGTCGCTGCTTGAGCCTGGCTATATCTTTCCTGACGGGCGCCGCGGCGCGCGTCTGTTGCTCAGCCCGCCACATGTTCTTCATCAGCCAGTCGCTGCTCACACAACTCGTATGAGCGATCATTATTGTTGCATATACATCTTATAACATTAGATTATTACCGTATATACATCTTATAGGAATAGATTATTATCATATATACATCTTGTAGGAATAATTTATTATCGTATAGATACATATACAACTTATAGAAGTCATATGAGTAGGTATATTTCTCATTATTATATATACCTATATATGTATTTTTTAAGTTTTTATTATTATTGTACTATGTACGGTGCGTCTTATAGAAGTCTTACGAGCATTTCTTATTGTGAGATATAGGTACCTATCTTATAGATTAAGGTTTTAAAACAATACAATATGTGGCTAAATAGTCAATTAGTTAATTACTTTTTAATGCAATTTTCGAAAGAATACCACATGAAAATTTAATACCTTACTCTGAATAGCCCCCATTAGTTACATAGAATTTTTTTTTTAAATTTTCACAAGATAAAATATAAACTCAAAAACCTTGGAAATGGGCTATGAAATTAAATACTTCAAGAATGTGGAGATGAGTAACATGAAGAGCGATTTTGGCAAGAGGTTATTTGCCTCATCTGTTAGGGAATCTATCAATGCTTTAAAAAAATGGGTTAGCCTTTAATGTTCATTGATTGAGAAGATTATCAGACTAAAAGTCATTAAAAATAACTCATAAATCCTCATTACACTGCAAAAATAACGACAAGTACCTAATATTGCTTGAAAGGTCGGACAGCTGATCAGTCAGTTTCATTTTTTCAAGTTAGGTGTCTATTATTTCATTTTTCATGTTAGGTATGACATATTTTCAATAATTTTTTTTTTTCGCAAAACTAGCAGTACAGCTGAAGGGAGGGTTCACATTCGGATAAAAGACAAAAAAGAGCAAATAAAGGAACTAATGTCTGCAAAGGCTAGCACTCTATTTGGCTCCAATTTGCATGAACAAATGATAGTACAAACTGACTGGAGAGTCAGACGTTGTTTGGGCTCATAATGATCCCATGCATCATTTATACGGCCCGTGTAAATGATAGTTCTGTCCGGCCCTCTAGCATCATGTGACGCCTCCACCATCTTGGAGAGCGGTGCCAGGGGCAGCTTGAATGAACTCAACACAGACTGAAGTGTTGACCTGACAAAATAATTTTCCATTAGGCATTTCATTACATTTAAATTCATTTCTTTGACCTGAGTTTTTTTTCAGTATTATTATTTTTTTTTAATTTTCATAAAAAACTTAATTTTATCTTGTATAAACTAATCTTAACACAGACTGAAGTGTTGACCTGACAAAATAACTTTCATTAATGAATACTAGAACAGATAAATAAGAAATTTAAATCAAGACAGCCTTGTAAAATTGAGCTTAACCTAGATCTGGTCAATCATACTATTGATTCAATACTAAGTTCAGACAATAATTGTACATACCTATAAGCTCTAATACTGTAGATTAAATTTCATATAATAACATATCAAAACTTGGTGTCAAGGACTTTTCACTACAAACCTGATTTCAGAGTGTGTCAGTGCTACAGTCACAACATCAAGTTCTCCTGCAAAAAAAAAATAAAATAATGAAAACAATAATAAAATGAAATAAAATACTTAAAAAAACTTTTTTAAAAAACCACGTTTTTCTTGTGGACTAAAAAGTAGAATATAAATTATGGCTCGCCCCAAAAAACGTGTGTTGGGCAGATTTATGATTAAAGCGAAAAGCACACAACACACGAATTTTGGAAATTTGATGGTGAACGTACAGCCCGACCCACGTTTTTTGGGGCAAGCCATAATTTATTTTCTACTTTTTAGTCCACAAGAAAAATGTGTTTTTTTAAAAAGTTTTTTTTAAGTATTTTATTTTCTCCTTTTTAGTCCGTTGCTACACATGAAAAACGTTGTTGCGAGCCAATTTACGTGACTTGACGTACATATCGATGATACGAAGCGTATCATCGATATACGCAGTCTAAACACAAATATCCTCGAGGATGACGTGCATTAAAGGTTCCCAACCCCTGCTTGTGAGTTCCTTTAGAGTTTATAACTACTGCACAAAGGTCAGCCATTCTACATAATATTCATTTTATTTCAGTTGGCCACGCAAATGCATGAAAGAAAATTCTTTTCGAAGTTCTGAAGAAAATTGTATTTGAAGGGATACATTGTTGTTCCCGTATTTATCTGGGTGCGTGGCTGTAATAAAGAAAGATTCTCGGTAAATAAATACGCCTGGAAACGTGCAACAAATTATTGATTATAGTATTGTCATCGGGAGCTTAGCTTCCCTAAAAGTTTCAGAGCGCTAGCTAGCGGGAAAGTTGGTGAAATATCGATTGCAAGATTTGATCATCACAAACAGACAGACACGAAAGCGAGCTAAGAAAAACGTGGTAAAATGTCATCAAGTATAGGTACTGTACTAATTTCCAAGCATTCCAAAACCTGCAAGTTTAAATAGGAGGACCCTCCAATATTCCAATAGTCAAAGCAATTCAATTTATCATCATACTTCTATTAATCATATACCATGTTTTTACTAATTTTTGCAACATGTAGGCAACACTGTAACTCAATATGAAATTCTCTAGCTGAACCAAGACTCCAAGTTTACATTGTCTTCACAAAATAACACCATAGGTACCAGACATTGTTGTCTTTACAAATAACCTATAAATAACCATAAAATTATCAAGAAATAAGCATAAAATATATCGTTGTTCACAAAATAACAGCATACCAGACATATAGAACTGAAATGTTGTCTTCACAGAATAACCTATAAAAAACAATAAAATAACCAAGAAATGACCATAAAATAGGTAGGTTTTTGTTCACAAAATAACAGCATACCAGATGTATCATCTCTGACATAGAACTGAAGTGTTGTGCTGCGGGGCTGCCTCTTCTCCAGCAGCGTGTTAAGATGGCTGCGTAATGTCATAAGAGAAGCTTCATTGATATACTGCGCTCTTGGGTACTGGCCAAACAAGTCTGGGTGAACCTGTAATCAAATTTTTCATTAAGAAAAGCAGATATAAATACTGACTGCAACTAAAAATGCATTTGTATCTAAAAATTACAATTAAAAATAGTTAAATTTTCCAGAGAATAATAAACATGACTTCATGCTTGGGGTGCTAATGGATACTGTAGACATTATTGCTTACACCAATTCAAATGCTTTAAATGTAAGATTCAGTATATCTTATAATCAATAATTCTGTTAATTATAATTCTGTAATTAAAAACCAGATTTCCCATTCAAAAGAAAGCCCATTATTTTTGTACAAGTTTTGAACAAAATATGACCAATAATGGCAAAAATTTCATATTGTATGTGATAACTTTAACATATGATTGATCCATTAACATAAGATCCATTAACATATGATTGATCCAAAAAAAAATACCTTGGAGTATATGGGTTTGATGGCACTTGCCACTTGAGTATCAGTCAACCATCGGATAGGTTGGCCAAAATATTGCATGGCAACAGTTAGGGGCTGAAGGTAACCTGAGGCAGGTTCTTTCCTGCAAAAGAAGAAAAGAAGAATTCAATAGCCAGAATTTCTTTTCAATTGTATATAGAGTGCAACTGTGCAAGATGTGTAAAGAGTACCGTAATAATTCAGATGACAATTTTAAAATAAAAACACCTCACTGAAGTCATAGTAATTAATAATGACCGAAGTTATTTATACCTAGTTACCTACATCATACATGAGCAATTTTACCCAAGAAGTGCTATATTTTGAGAGACCTTTACTTAAGAGCTGCACGTTCTTCAACAGCCTTTAACTTTAAGAGCTTTTTGTTTTATTTTTAATTTTATTGTTTATTGATAAACATATGTGTTATTTTTTTACAAAACTTAGGTGATAAAGTGATAAATCCATACAGATGAAAAACTTTAAATATCTTCCAAGCATCAGTATCAAACAAGAGATTTTAATTTTTAAATATCCCTGACCCTAAAATATGTGACTTTAAAGTTTAGAGTTTAACATTTATACTGGGTAGGTAAACAGTTATACTTATAGTTATACCCATGTTATTTTGAAAAAAAGGTTTGCATTTTCAAATATTTGCTGGTGTCTGGTAGCTATTGAGCCACGACATTTAAATTTACCCCAAATTTCCAAAATAAAAAAATATATGACTGGTCTGAGTCTGACTGTGCAGCCCCAAATTATGGCCATTATTCTAGCTACCAAAGTTCAATTTTTAATAAACATAAATTTTCAGTAAAAATAGTGACAAAAAAGTTCAAAAATATTTATGTTGACATACTTTATTCAGTTTATTGAAAATTTTGAACAAATTTATGGTCTTAGAATGGACAACTCAAGCCTTATGTGTATTATCATTCTCAGAGTCAATAAGACAGAGTGCTGGACTGCTGGCTTGCAGACTGCGGGCTGCGGCTGGCAACCTGCATTAATATATTACGTAATTATGTTACGCCTCGCGCTTTGGAGCAGTATGGAATTCTGTATAGGTAATATATTATCATGTTAACAAAAGAAAATGTATCGAAAAATTTACCACCTTACACCTTCCACCGAAGTGACAATTGATACTCAATTACTCATACTCTTACACTGAGCTCGTCAGAAACTGCGGGTAGTGACACCCGGACCGCTGCACTTCCTCTAACTCGTTTGCGTGTGGTTCGAAAACCGATAAAAAGTAGGCGACTCTTCCCTCCAATACATCACTAGTCGTGTATCCGTATTGACAAATTTTGTAATGAATATGTTCCAAAATAAAAAATAAAAATTACGTAAACTTTCGCAGAAAATTCTCACGATTTCACCAATACCAACAAAGTTCTCGAATCCACACGGAATGATGGGATAAACTGCTAATCTTTCACGGCGTATGGCAACATTGTGTTGACTGTTGACATTAGACAAGACGGTGTCAGACACCTTGTTTTGGTCTTGTAAAGTTCAATTTCATAATAAATAGATTTGATCCACATTTCACAGTGACATTTAAATGATGGAAAATTGTTTCAAAATTTAAACACCAATTGATACGCTTCTAAATACGAATTTATTCATGTTTTCGCCCTATAATGTCGAATTTGTCTTAATAACTTCACTTCACTTCAAATCCTGAATGATTTTGTCTCCCATGGCGAGTTTTCGAACGTCTTGTGTCTTTTAGAAAACTTTGGTTGTTTATAAGCAGTAATTATTTTATTTTAATGAACCAAAGAAAGTTTAGTCATCGAAATGACAAAATCATTAAATTTAAAATATTAAGTTATATGAGTGAGATCATCAATTATCAAAGAAGCTGTAAGAAAAAAATCGTTGTTTTTGATGTAAAAGAATGTTTTTAATTTAAAAGAAATGCAATACTTGATTTTCAGAAATACGATGCAAAAATTAATGATCCCTATTAGAATTCAACAGACGCGACTCATTCAGAATTAAATTGAAAAAGTTGGTACCTATTTGAAATTTATGATTTTACAAATTGCTTAATTGAACGCAGTGCAGAAATTCAAGATCACCTATGAGTATGAATTTAAGTCTCATGACTGGAGATCTCAAAATTTATTGTACTATCACATATGTTTGATTCATAAGCTTTTTGTCCTTTTGATGAACAGAGTTTATTTAGGTTCTATTGACTGTAATAGGTAGAACGATGCCACATATTTGCGGCCATCCAACGATCGGTTGACGGCTTTGACTCTTGATATCACTGTACAAATATTGCGGTGGACACATCTTCCAGAAGTTTCAATGCAAAGATTCTTATTTAAAGGATAATAAATCGATTCGTAGTTGTTCACTCGAATTACTCCCACCTATAGATATAAATGAACATTATTCAATTTATTTTAAACGTTTTAGTTTTTCATGAATTCGCATTAAAATATTTATTTTGAAATCAACCATGTCAAAGTAACGAAATAATTTGTTATAGTTTTAGGCTTCCAAAAATATTTCAAATCTCTATCAGAAATAGGTATCATAATTAATCATTCTCTTGCATTGACTATATTAACGTTATGATCCGTGCCGCCGCTGCCGTGATCGTCATTTGCTTTCGCAATTGCATGCCGGGCGATTGCTTTTGTTGTTCTATGTATTCTCGCTCCCATGAATTGCGTGTTTAGTATATGCATCATCGAAAAGTCTGCTTGACAGCGTAGTCACGGTAGCTGTAATTACTTTATTAAGTTTACTTCTTTGCATTCATATTAAGAGACAAATCTTTAACGAACTAATACTTTGTATAATTTTAATTGTTGAGTGAAAGCTGCGCCTGCAGCCTTGCTGGCACGCAACATTTCCAAGTGAGTTAGCCTACCTTATAGAAACTTAGCATACCGGCCATACCCATATGTGTTTTAAGCCTATAAGAAGTTCATTTTTTTGCCTGAATAATGTTGTATCGAAAAACTGGTGTAGGTGTATCCTGTATCGGGAATAATATATGAACAGTCAATATTAGAATTCCATCCTGCAGTTTGGGGGGTGATAGTGAAGCGCAAAAGGTAACAAAATATAATGTTAAAAGGAACAATGTTGTAATTTAAACTTACAAAGCTAAATTGCGCAGCAGAATTGTCATCTTCCTTAAATTTCTTCGACTTAAAAAACCCCAATGCTTACACTAGATCGTAATAACATAGAAGACAAGATTATTTCTGACAAGTTCTTCGTCAGGAGCCCAACAACGTCAGCTGTGTTTGTGGAGCTCCGAAAATAATCCGCTATCACAGAATATTATATTGTGGCTTAATCTTCCGCATTTCACAAAACTTGTTATATAAGAGGCATTTCAAACATATTTATAGTTTTTTATATTCAGAAATGCTATATTAAATGAGGAAGAAGTAATTAATAACTCTGAGGAAGAAGTAATTAAATGGAATAATGTGATGTGATTTGTGAATGTATGCAAATCATTTGAGATAATTCTGGAGTCCGAATGCAGGTTCCTATTAAGAACTTTGACTAATGTTGTTTTCGATTTGTGCATGATCTATAAAGTGAACGTTTATTTAAAAACTTGACATCATGATAGCACTAAGTTGACTTGTCAATTATTTTTGAATGAGAGGCAATGAATTTATCGAAGTACTGTTTTTTGCACTAGCCGTTGAAACTTGCAATTAAAATTAGTTAAGAGATATAATTCAGTTGACCGCTTTTGCGTACGGCGAAGGTGCGATGGCGAAACCGCTTGTCTTCTTTCCAACAGTCTGCTGGACTCATCGGACTCAAGCAAGTCGAGTTCGGTCAGTTGTCTACCGGCAGTCGTGGAGTGGTGGTTGCTGTGTACTGAAAAACCATTCTGTATGAATGCACAGCAGGTCAAAACAAACTAATTGCATTACCCTTTTCTATTGATTCATTACTTTTATATTCGGAGGATTCTATGGGGTAATGGGAGATTAGTTGATTTAATATATGGTGTTTTTCACCCAATATAAAAAACGTCAACCGTTTGCTAGAAAGTCAATAAATTGCAACTCGAAGCTCCGGTTTCTCTAAGTCATAAGAACTGAAGCGCTGCAGTCTCTATGTCGCCGTATTCTCGAGGATTTGAATTATATGTAATTGAATTTTCGGACACGAGGAATTCAATTTTAGTTTCAATTAATGGATAAGATTTTTTTACGTAACTAGTTTCGTTTGATTTAGCTCTCATTTTCGGCACGGAACATAAATTATGATGCTTAATTCTTAGAGTTCTGCAATTTAAATTTAAATTCTATTCGATGTGTTCACATTTCTGTGTGAAGTTTAGGCGAAAAAACTTTTTGAGACTGTCAAAAGCTAAGCGCCTGCTAATCTTTCATTGTATTGTTTTTCTATAATTCAATAAGAGCAAACTTGAAGCACATTCGCTGTGGTTTGAAAAATTTAGATGAGTTCTGTGTTTTAATGAAGAATTTTGTTGTAGCCTCATCTTTTTTCTAGCCTTTTGTCTGAGCCTTCTTGACACTTATTCATAGAATTTAACCTTCATAGTGACGAACGGAATGAATAACATTTCGATCGTTCAAATACTAGCGACGCTGAAATAGGCGTCGCTAGTAGGCGTCGGCGTGAATATTGGGATATTTTTGGCTTATCAAGATTCTAGTTATCTCATAATTTTTTTCGAACCCACGCTCACAGCTCTACTGAAAACTTAATATTTACCACTCTGCCAAGCCGCTATTAGGTTCTTGGTTTGAATTTAGCTAAATTCCATTATTTGAAAAACTTTTCATTACGTGCACGTTGAATAACGTCATGCCATTGTGATATTTAAATCAACGTATATTTATATACGTTGTTAACGTAAATATCCCCAACGTAAATAGCTAGTTATATCTCCAACTGGGACCCTAATCTTGATCAGAGATCCCCAAGGGGAGCAGAGATCTCTGCTCCCCATTCTGGGCATAATTTATCAATTCAAATAATTTAATGGGAATAACAAAGTATGTATTTCATTTCAGTGTTTAATTAAGTATTAGTTTAATTACATTAACAATTTATTCTTAATTATACCGATTTCGAAACTATTGGGAAAAATGAGTGTGCGCAAAATCTGGTGCGAATACGAAAACTTTTTAAAGACTTACGTCTGCAAGTCGAGGTAACGTCAAGCTACAAGAGGCAAAAGTGCGTCACTACATATTTTGACGAAGTCTCACTCACTTTTCTGAGTGAATGCTTGCTAGGGTAATTGTTATACCTCCTACCTTATTACACTATAACTTCAGACAGCTGTTTAATAGTTTAGGTTTAATAGTTAATTCAATTAATTTAAACGCTTAATTTTTTGTATGAATTAGTTTCCTAATGGTAATTTTATTATATATATTAATATTATTTATTTCTGCTTACGAAGGTTTAGAAAAGAGACAAAAAATCAATAAAACTACATAGTCTTTCGATGAAGTCTTTCTTGTGAATGATGTAGTCTTTCTTGTGAATGATGAAGTCTTTTTTTGTGAATGATGAATTCTTTCTTGTGAATGATGAAGTCTTTCTTGTGAATGATGAAGTCTTTTTTTGTGAATGATGAATTCTTTCTTGTGAATGATGAAGTCTTTCTTGTGAATGATGAAGTCTTTCTTGTGAATGATGAAGTCTTTCTTGTGAATGATGAAGTCTTTCTTGTGAATGAGCAAAAAAGGCTTCAGGCAAGCGCCGCGTGCCTGAAGTTCTGGTAAAAGCATTTTTGAGAAAAAAAAGGTGCAAAATACTCATTATTTTTTTATTAAATTAAATACAATACTCAGTATCTGTGCAGCGTTTGTTGCTTGTTGCGAGTAGAATGCGTCTGTTTGATCTCCACAGGCTGTGTTAAAAAATGTCGCGCATTGTTTCACAATCTCCTACGATTGTTATGTCTTCCATGAAGCAGAACTTTGTTGTGAAGTTAACAATAAAATGAAAGCTTACGCAGCGTTCACTTTCACGCGAGTCGTTACTTCCAACAGCCATCACAGCGATACTTCCGTTGTTTATTTTTCCATCCGTTCTTAATTTTTTAAGCCGCTTCTTATTTTTCCGTCCGTTATTTTTTATTCGTTATTTATTTTTAGGCAATTTTTTATTTTTTAATTCGCTATTTATTTTTCAATCCGTTCTTAATTTTTTACTCCGGTATTTACTTTAAATCCTTTATCTATTTTTCATCCGATATTTATTTTTTAATTCGTTATTAAGTTTTTAATCCGTTATTTATTTTTCCGTCCATTATTTATTTTTAATCCATTATTCATTTTTTCTCTGTTATTCATTTTTAATGCATTTTTTCATTTATTTATTCGTTATTTATTTTCCAATAATTTATTTATTTTTTAATTCTTTATTTAGTTTTCGATCCATTATTCATCTTTAATCCGTTATTAAATTTTCAATCCTTTATTTATTTCTCTATTCTGTGACGTCATCAATTGTGCAACAGTGCTATGCATAATTATACAATCTTTAAAGTTTTTAACTTTGTTTCAAATCTGACCCTCGTAATTACTGAATTTTTACCACTAATTTATCAGAAATTTATTTTTCTTTGTACACTACGTCAATACATAATTACATTTGCTACAGAGCACACGTACGCAAGAGTAAATTACCTAATAGTTAATTAATCGAAATAACTAGTTATTATTGAATTGAAATACCTAATTATTATTTAAATCAAATAACTAATCATTAAGGAATTAAGTGCCCAATTGTTAATGAATTGAAGTACCTTGTTATTAATTAATTGAAATGGCTAATTTCCAACAGAGAAGTGTCAGCTGACGTGAGTTACGCATCATTATATGGTGCATTATATATAGAGATCTGTGAAATTAAACATAAGTTTGATAGTGAAGATAAAAGATATTCAGCATGAGCTTCAAGTCAGCGCATCGCGGCCACAAGAAGATAGGCTGGCTAAGACACGTCCTAACGGGACTATCCGCCCTCACTTTCGTAAGTCTTTCGTTAATTATTAAGTTATTAATAAAAATATTAATAATTAATAATAATGTTGATAAAAAGGATGTTATGGAAGAGACCGCCCTCACTTTTGTAAGTGTTTCGTTAGTTAATAAAAGTTATTAATAATAATATTAATAATTAATAATAACGTTGATTAAAGGGTGTTATTCCCACTTTCGTAAGGGTTTTCCTTTAATTAATCCTGTTGAAATAAAGTTGATTAAAGGATCTTATAGATAAGTTGATGAAAAGATGTTATTGATAATGAATGAAGAAGTCTTTATGACTTCATCATATCGATATTTTAAGTCGTTGAATCAACGTTGAATATAGCGTTGTTTTAACGATTCCATCTTCACTTTCAAGAGTATTTTTTGTTAGTTCATAACTTTGAAATAACGTACGTTGGATAAAGGACATTTCAACGATGCCGATCTCACTCTTGTATAAGTATTTTCCGTCAAATTTTCACGCACATAAAACGTTGTTTAAAAAATATTACTCTCAATTTTGCAAGTATTTCCCCCGCATGGATATGAGGTTGAATTAACTTTGATTCAACAAAATTATAACTCATAATCAACATTATTTCCACGCCATTTCCCAGGAGGTTTCTAGCACTTCTAAAAGTTAAATTTAAACTTTACGTCATACTTTAACTTACTTAATTCAGTTTGCCCGTGTATGATATTCATCTGTTATTTAAAATTAGTAGCTTTTTATAAATTCTTTATAATTTAACTTTCAGATGGCGAAAAATCTTTCTTTCCAAGAAAAGGAACAATTATGATTTCAAGTTGAGCACATTTATTTACTATAATACAATAGCTCAATCCAATGCAATAATATATTGATCGTAAATTAGAATTTATACCAACTACACTTACATCGACTTCTTTAAGTGCCGTCAATGTCTGCCTTATTATTTTTAAATAATTTCATTTGTGTTAAAAATAATGCAACTTGCTTTTTCAGATCAGGCTTTATTCAGAACAGAATGTCACAAATTATGATATGTACAAGTTTGAAATTGTCCATTGTTGACCTCATTGTTCATTTAATGTTAACAGTGCCTCATTTTCTGCATTCTTTTCCAAGAGTTTTCAAATAAACCTAAGAAGGTTGTTACCAAACTGTTTAGGTTTACCTACGAAGTATCGTCTTAATCCTTGCTTGCCATACAAACTCGGTGGCGAATACCAAACACGTGACGTATACTTTTTATTAGATGCAAGCTAAGAAAATTTAATGGTATTTTTTAGCGCATTTTCTCATTTATGAAAAAAATGCACTATTGTGCTCGCCGTGTCCGTCTGTCCGTCTGTCTGCCCATCCGTGACTTCATGTTTTCGTCGACGAGAAAATGCGCTCTCTGTCACTCACTGCAGTGAGTACTGAGTTATATTTTTTGTTTTTATTATTTGCGGTAAGCGCTCCACATATATTAATTAATTCAAATTAAATTATCCACATTAATTACCCCGTTTAATGAACGATCGCGTTAATAATGCTTGATGACAAGAAATACGCGTCAGTTACACTGACGCGTATTCTGTGCGTTACACTGACGCGTATTCTGCGCGTTACACTGACGCGTATTTTGCGCGTTATACTGACGCGTATTCTGTGCGTTACGCTAGCACTGATGTGTTAATGTAAACGCTGTGAAAATATCGCCTGGTCGATGATTTAAACGCATTACGCAACGTCCTTGCATGAGATCTTCGTGGGAGCTTCATGGTGATTGCGTGTGTCGTGAGAACCGTGAACGTCTTCATTATTTTATGACTATCCTACTTCCTGATTGTAAGCACTCAGGGAATTGAGTAAGAATTTGACCAAATAGCAATGCATTTTTTCTTGTGTGGGCCATCCTGACTCGGTAGCGCCCGGCAAAAGAACGTATCGGTGCTACGTCCGTTCTCTATTTGTGCTACGGGTAAGAAAATGTATCATTATTCCATCCCGTCAATGTGTCGTATTTATTTTTTTGAGTGCGACTATTCAAGTCACGTGGGACAGCTAAATGGTCAAATTAAATTACGAAATTAAATATACTGCGGCAACTACGGTAGTTGACATGCTTCCGTTCACTCAGGAACACGGACCACTGAAATGGTCGACTTCAAAATTCTATCTTGCTAGACCGAGACAGTGTCACTTGTGGGCAGTTAATTGCTAATATCATCATTGGGATGATTTATCCCGTAGGGTTTTCAGAAAGAGTCTCCAAAAAGTTATATTATACTGTGATGAATTTTTTATGAGATGTTCTTTTTTTGTTGAAAAGTGAACTTTTAGCAAGCCAACTATTGAACCATAGGTTATAATTAGAATAAAAATAGATAATATACCGATGCTGATATTTTTTTGGGTTAATAGCTGTCAGCACGGCGTTACTGTGGCAATTTTCAAAATCCAATTTTCCTGAATCCTGTTAATGGGAATATTATTAATGGTCGTTAATTAAAGAAATGCTCTTTCAAACCCTGATTTGACATATAACTCAAATTAACTTATTCAAGTTATGAAGAAACTATTTTGCGCCTGTTAAATCAAATTTATAATAAGCTATTTCAAATTGAATTTAAGTTGTTGATAAAATCCTTCAAAACCTAGTTTTGTGTTTCAAAATTATGATGCTTTCCCATTCATCAACTCGGAAAAAATTTTCAGGTACAGGCAATATCCCGACACTATAAGTATCTTGGATACGCGCCACAACAGCCCCGATGTACAATATCCCGACACGATAAGTATCCTGGATACGCGCCCCAACAGCCCCTATATACAATATCCCNAACGTGATACGTGGCACGCTGAGTGCACGTAACGTGATACGTGGCACGCTGAGTGCACGTAACGTGATACGTGGCACGCTGAGTGCACGTAACGTGATACGTGGCACGCTGAGTGCACGTAACGTGATACGTGGCACGCTGAGTGCACGTAACGTGATACGTGGCACGCTGAGTGCACGTAACGTGATACGTGGCACGCTGAGTGCACGTAACGTGATACGTGGCACGCTGAGTGCACGTAACGTGATACGTGGCACGCTGAGTGCACGTAACGTGATACGTGGCACGCTGAGTGCACGTAACGTGATACGTGGCACGCTGAGTGCACGTAACGTGATACGTGGCACGCTGAGTGCACGTAACGTGATACGTGGCACGCTGAGTGCACGTAACGTGATACGTGGCACGCTGAGTGCACGTAACGTGATACGTGGCACGCTGAGTGCACGTAACGTGATACGTGGCACGCTGAGTGCACGTAACGTGATACGTGGCACGCTGAGTGCACGTAACGTGATACGTGGCACGCTGAGTGCACGTAACGTGATACGTGGCACGCTGAGTGCACGTAACGTGATACGTGGCACGCTGAGTGCACGTAACGTGATACGTGGCACGCTGAGTGCACGTAACGTGATACGTGGCACGCTGAGTGCACGTAACGTGATACGTGGCACGCTGAGTGCACGTAACGTGATACGTGGCACGCTGAGTGCACGTAACGTGATACGTGGCACGCTGAGTGCACGTAACGTGATACGTGGCACGCTGAGTGCACGTAACGTGATACGTGGCACGCTGAGTGCACGTAACGTGATACGTGGCACGCTGAGTGCACGTAACGTGATACGTGGCACGCTGAGTGCACGTAACGTGATACGTGGCACGCTGAGTGCACGTAATGCATGCACCAGGCGTACGTACACTCTGCATGCATGGTCGCGTACAGCGGGTAACGGAGCGCGTGTTTGTCGTGCAGCTTCGTGCCTACGTACGTACGAAGCTGGCTTAGTGATCGGGGCTCGTTAATTTATTTATTTATTTATATTAATTATTTTATGTTATATCACAGCAAGCTATCACCATCAGGGTGAGCAGCACTATGTATATATGTATATATTTTTGAATATTATAGACTTATACATGTCTATATTTATATATTATAGATATATACAAATTATGAATATGAACAATAAAATATAGGTGTAAAAATGTAATATTATTGGATTTTAAGCTTATAAGTTCTCTTAGTTTTATTTTACATGTATAGAAATTATGTGGGTTAAAAGTTAGTTTTATATTCAGGCAAATTATAAGTGTTCTTCGTACTACTATCATAACACATTTGTACATAATATAATATAATATAATATAATATAATATAATATAATATAATATAATATAATATAATATAATATAATATAATATAATATAATATTATGTTATGTTATATCATATTTTCACAATACGTTATTTCAGTTGAAAGTAAAACTTGTTCTCCGCTGCGTATAAGCCAGCATGCGTATAGTATGAGCGCTGTATGTTGTGCATATCGTCATTGATGCGTATAGTATTCTCCGTGTATACGCAGCGTATACGCGAGAAAGTCGTGCCGTTCCATCGCGTATACTTGATGTAATGCGTATACGTAGATGCTTATACTGTAGTGCGTAAGCACTAACAGAAATTAGTGGGACTTTGTCCTGATTTCAATGCGCTTTTAGCCATTGTGTAGGTTATCCTGACCAATTGTGGCCCGGCAAAAGGGCGCATAGTGCTGCGCGCAGAACGTGTGTCATTATTTGGACAATTTGACACATAAAATTTTCGGCGTAGAGCTGGCCTACACTGAGAGAAATGAATGAGTCGTATTATCCAAATAATGACTCACTTCCTCACAGACAGCACGAGCAGAAAGCTAGGTCAGGATAACCCACACGAAGACAAGAAGTGTATCGGTATTTAGACAAAGTCTCATTCATTTCCCTGCGTGTATGGACGATGCGTAGCAGCTGTTTATTCTCTGCGCCGCAACCTGCGTGAGAAATTCATACACACTCAGAGAAATGAGTGAGTTGTCATAATAGCGATGCTCCGTTTGGCCTTATATGGGTCATATTGACTCAGTTTAACCAGCAAAAGGGCGTAACAGTTCAATGTCCGCTCTCTGCTCGAGCTGTACGTATGAATTTTGTCACAATTTTTACAATGTGACTCATTAATTTTTCTGAGTGCGCACAACATGCACCGCTATATACGCACGGCGTCCGAGGGCGTAAAGCGTATCCAAGATGGCGGCCTGGAATATAGGGAAAGTTTACGGCCATATGTGAGCCTTAAACTTTCTGGACTCACTTTCTGGACTCACTTTCCTCGCCGAAATGCCTAGCGTTAATGTCTTGAAGTAGCTAATGAGGTGACTTGAATCAGCTAATGAGGTGATTAAAGTAGCTAATGAGATGAAAGCTGAAGAGTTTAAGCTACTGAAGTCCATTTACTGGAATAATTACTAAAGTTAAATGGTTTTTGTTGTTTCGGAGTAAAGTTAGAATTTGTTAATTTAATTAGATTTGAATACAGTTTTTTACTCGAAATCGCAATCGATGATGATGATTGGTAAGAAGTTGTTTGATATGAGAAAGATAACCGCCTTCAGTAAAAATATTTTCGCTTGGCTAATTTATACAGTTCATTTATAAAACTACTTGTAGATGTTTATTTTCCCCTAAATCCACATATTTTAATAATGCTCCCTACCCTCCAGGCGATGACTATGGTGGATGTATATTTCCCCCCAATTCCCCCCGGTTTCATCATGCCCCCCACTCCCCCAGATGATGACTATGTTTGATGTATATATCCCCCAAATCCCCCCGGTTTCATCATGTCCCCCACTCCCCCAGATCGCGGGGGCGCTGCTGCTGGGGTACATGGGGTGGGTGCTGGCCACGTCGGTGTCGTTGACACGCTTCCTCTCCGGCACTCTGGTGAGAATTTCATTTATTTAGGTATTTTTATAATTTATTTTATTTGTTTATATAAACTTTGTCATTATATATGTCTATGTATTAAATTTAATATGTATTAAATTCATTTATTTGCATTTTTATTGATTTTATTGTTGTAGTTCTGTTTAAAAATGTTGTTTGTCTGATAAATCAATAATTTGAAATGCTTACCTTCGTCCAAATTCTGATTTTGATTGATGTCTTTAATTTGGAATTTTAATTTATGTACGTAATTGTAATTTAGATTTATTCCTATAACAAAAAATTCATTTAATATGTTTAATTTCAATTTTTGTCTATAATTTTAATTTTATTTCTTGTTTATAATTTAAATTCACGTTAATATATATTCTAGGCCATCATCCGACACTCTTTTTTTTGCCTCTAGATAGTTTGATATTTTCTAGCTCGTAATACATTACTAGAATAATGTTAAAATCGCTTCTGAATTTTAATATGTCGCGCGTCTTCGCTTCCCTTACAAAAAATTTCTTGATTTCAATAGTTATTTAATCGAAAATTTCGACATTCAAGCGTTTATTTTGTTTTCTACTGTGCAAGTTTTTGCTATTTTTATAAGTCGTTTTTTTTTGTCGTTGTCAAAGTACAATCATTTTTGAAATTACTATTTTCTCTTTTTAGTTTTGAAGTTTAAAATCCAATTACGCATTTTCATATTCATTTTTTTAGTAGCACGTATGTTTCGAATCGTAATAACGCAGTTTTTTCTTATTTTCGTAACATTTTTTTTACTTGCAATCGTTAATTTTTATTGGTCATATTGCATCGCCCCACACATAAAGAAACATCAAAAATAGTGATAGGCTGGAACCGGAAATTTACAATTTTGTGCGAAGTTATGAATCAAAAATGTTAAAATTTTAGTAATATAACGTATTATAGGATATAGGCATGGTGATAAAACAGATATCCTCAAGTTCTAGAATTATTTCGAAAATATTCTAGAGAATATTTTATTACCTACTTGAATCTAAAGATACCCTACGATGAACACAAAGTTAATACAAAACAGACCGCAGGACACGTGTTCTTGTCACACAGAGGTTGTGTGCCGAATGTCAAGTTGTTGTATTTTTAAGGAGGAATTAAAATTGATACATTTTTTTATTCCGCAATAAAGTTTAGGCTCGGGATTAGCAACGACATCCTTGAATAGTTGAGTGCTGAGTGAACTTACAATGCCTTCTGTTGACGTCTACTAACTTCTGTTGCATTATATTGCAATATATTACAGTATATTGCATTAAAATTGCATTACATTGTATATTATATCATATTGCATTATACTGCCATTTATTGCAATATGTTGCATTATATTGCAATATTTTACAGTATATTGCTTTAAAATTGCATTATATTGAATTAATTTATATCATATTGCCATATACTGAATTATATTAGATCATATTGCATTATACTGCAGTTTATTGCAATATATTACATTATATTGCCCTTATTATAGCACCGTCATCAATTATCAAGTTTGTGCGAGGAGAGTAAAGCTGTGCAGCTAGAATTTTTTAACAAAAAATCTAGGTTAAAAAAGTCAAGTTCTGCTCGCGACGATGTTATCGTCAACTCGTTCTTGGATAAAAGGAAATTTTGATCTGTGTAAGAGATTTACAACGAAAAGAATTCTATGATAAGAATAATAATAAAAATTGTTTGAAGAAGAGTACTTCATTTGTTCTGGCGAGGCTAGCAGAACTTGTTCTTGAGATGCAAGAACCTGTTCAAGAACCGGCTTTTATGATTTATTTTCTTAACGAACATAGGAAAGAAACTAATTTTAGGCCAACTCCAATTAGGAAATGTTAAATCGTTAATATCAAATAAACTTTATAGATTTTATGAGTTTATATAATTAATATTATGTAATTGTTTTATCATTAATATCAAGTTTATTTTACATTATTAATGTCATATTAAAGATATATCATTATTTTTGCGTTTAAATTATATCAATAATATAATATTAATGTCATATCATTATTATCATGCTAATGTCTTAGCATCACGTAAATTTATATCATTGATATCAAGCTAATATGTCATCATTAATAGCATGAAGTTCTATCATATTTGTACCACTGTACTAATCCTGATTATTTAGTATTAAAAAATGGGTTTTGTCTGCCCATTATTCAAAGCCATTATTGAGGTAAGGAGGTCGAGCTTAATTACAGCTTGGCATGATAATGGAAGCTCCTTCACCCACAGAAATGAGTGGGGCTTTGTCCAAATCGCGATCGACTTTTGCCCTTGCGTACGAGTATATATGTCATCCTGGCCTAATATTGTCGGGAAAAATGGCGTAGCAGTGCTTCGTTGGGAAATTGTGTCATTATTTAAAAAATAATATAAGACATACATTTATATGGAAGTGCACTTTATGCATGCTAATTTCGAAATTTCGTTGCAATAAGCGTCTCTTTATTTGATGATGAATAATGTTTTTTTAACATCGTTAATATAAGAAAAATTCTTCGGAAAACCTGCTTTTTTGTCTACTGACGCCAGCGAAAAAGAAATCGTTCGACTCCTTGATAAAGCAAATCAGAAAATTGTTAATAAATTTCATTCTCTGATCTTCAAGAGAATTGTTATTTATAAAGGAACAAATTCAGCCAAACTATACGAATTTTGTTTGTATTTATATGAATATCTCAAAAATAAGTTTTAGAGAAAGGCTGCAAGCTGTCGAACTTAATAAATTGAATGTCTGATGCTTCGTTGACGCACATTATTCAATGAACATAAAACTAAAGTAGGAACAGATAATAATATAACAATAATAAATTCAGATTATATAATATATCTACAGTATCTGCACTATGACAACAGGGATTAATATGTAGGATACAGTAACTAAACAAATAACAATAAATCCTTCATATAAACCGTTTATATTAGCTATAAGTCTTTGCGACAAGCTGCCAAAACGTTATAGCTCAGTATACTATAGGTCAGTGGCTGCTCATATTCTTTTTCAAACTTTTAAATTGCATCCACTATATTATATATACTATGTATCTACTATATCATATATACTATATAACCACTACATTATATATACTATATATCCTCTATATTATATATACTATACATCCACTACATTATGACAATGTTTCATCGTTATTTGTCCAAGAATTTATAGATCATTACCTGCCGAAGCACACACGGGAATGATGACTGATGGATTAAAGAAAATTTCATTTCTTTATTTTTTTATACAATCCACTGCAGAGGCTAAATCTACAATGCACTCAGAAAAATGAACGGGTCTTATTGTCCAAATAGTGACTCTCTGTCTGCGCGATCCGTTCCCTAGCCGGGAAAAGAACGATCAGGATGGCCCACAAATGGTCAATAAGTAAATTGGTTTTGGAAGTCCCATTTATTTTTCTGCGTGTGGCTTACGCAGCAGCGCTGTGGTCAATAAGTGCATCAATAGTTGGACATTGCCCCGCTCATTTCTCTAGATGTGGCTTGCGCAGCACGGCTATATAGGCTAAGTGAACGCCAGAAGACATCGGCAGCGCCGCCACATACCAAGTGGCGTACGTGCGTATAGTGCGTATATATACGCATGCCCCAGTATTGCGTACGTGCCCAGCATGCCCCAGTATTGTACGGTGTATATTTTCAGTACACAGGCCTGCGTATGTGCCCCAGTATTGTACAGTGTATGTACAGTACACAAGCCTGCGTATGTGCCCCAGTATTGTACAGTGTATGTACAGGACACAGGCCTGCGTATGTGCCCCAGTATTGTACAGTGTATGTACAGTACACAGGCCTGCGTATGTGCCCCAGTATTGTACAGTGTATGTACAGTACACAGGCCTGCGTATGTGCCCCAGTATTGTACAGTGTATGTACAGTACACAGGCCTGCGTATGTATGTGCACAGTTTGCCCTGGAATCGTACAAGTTTTTTCTTAGAACTTGTAAGGAAATTTGACTGAGGAAAACTTCAACGCAGTAGAGCTTTGCTTGATCTACCGCATCTACTGGTAGAACACCTCTATGGGTAGAACGCCTGTGCAGGTAGAACGCCTCTATATGTAGAACGCCTTTATGGGTAGAATGCCTCTATGGGTAGAACACTTCTATTGGTAGAACACCTCTATGGGTAGAACTTCTCTATGGTAGAACACCTCTATGGGTAGAACTTCTCTATGGGTAGAACACCTCTATGGGTAGAGCACCTCTATGGGTAGAACTTCTCTATGAGTAGAACACCTCTATATATGGGTAGAACACCTCTATGGGTAGAACGCCTCTATAGGTAGAACGCCTCTATGGGTAGAACGCTTCTATGGGTAGAACACCTCTATGGGTAGAACGCCTCTATGGGTAGAACGCCTCAATGGGTAGAACGCCTCTATGGGTAGAACACCTCTATGGGTAGAACGCCTCTATGGATAGAACGCCTCTATGGTAGAACGCCTCTATGGGTAGAACGCCTCTATGGGTAGAACTTCTCTATGTGTAGAACGCCTCTATGGATAGAACGCCTCTATGGGTTGAACGCCTCTGTGGGTAGAACGCCTCTATGGATAGAACGCCTCTATGGGTAGAACGCCTCTATGGGTAGAACGCCTCTATGGGTAGAACTTCTCTATGGGTAGAACGCCTCTATGGGTAGAACGCCTCTATGGGTAGAACTTCTCTATGGGTAGAACACCTCTATGGGTAGAACGCCTCTATGGGTAGAACGCCTCTATGGGTAGAACGCCTCTATGGGTAGAACTTCTCTATGGGTAGAACTTGTCTCTTATACACATCTA